GAATGGGAGACTGAGCAGAAGATGCAGCTTTGCCAGATCCCCTCTGCAGTCTGAGGTAAAGCTGTCTGAAAATGGCTTGTGCTCTGTAAATCATGATGATAAAGGAGTGCCATACCAAGAGCTGTTCTGTTATCAGTCTGATTTTTGTATCAGATAGCATGTCATTCTGTCTGTTGCTCTACCTTGCGTTGTCAGCAAGGAAGAATGCTATTTGTGCCACAGTTCAAGAGGAAAGCCTCAGTGATGAGAGGCCCTGTGCTGTGCTCCCTCAATGACTGAGATCTCCTCCTGTGTCTCCCTGCATGCCCTGCCCTGGCAGTGATCCTTGTAGGCAGCTGCTGGAAAGGAAGCTGTCAAAGTTATCCCATCAGTCTGGGCTGATGTGTGACCTGCACCATGTTACAAAAAGAGAAGGGAATAGAAAAGGTCTGGAGCAATGTTGCTGATGCAAATGCTTCTGTGTATCATGGGGAAAAACTGCTGAGCCTCTGCCACTTCCTTGAGGAGTAGATGGGAAATGCAGGGCGAATGGCCAGGAGATGGGTGCAGGTAGAAAACCAGCCCTAAGCAAGCAGGGGGAAGTAGGGGCTTTCTGAAGGTAAGATGTTTGTCCAGGCAGCAGGAGAGACTGCTAGAGGTGAAACAAAGTGCTGTTGAACAGATATCATTAACTCCTGCTTGTGAAGAGAACTGGGACCCAAGGGCAAGACCCCCCAGTTATTACCAGGACAGAGGCTCAAACTGAGCTTTTGATCTAAGTATATTTTGAGAAGCATCTAGAAAAATTCTGAGCTTCATGGCATTTACCCATTTGGTACTGTTTCAGAGAAATTGAACTTTGGGGGCTAGAAGCTTTAAATGGCTTATGAGATGCAGGACTTTGATGTGATCCCATTTCCAGGAAAAAAAAAAGAAGACTTGATTTCTACTCACTGTTCAGTGCATGTTTGTCTGCACTGGATGCAGAATGCACATACAGGGCTGAATAAATCACTGGGAGGCAGAAATCAAATCTCCCGAACAGTTACAGTAGTTACAGATGCTCACCTGGAATGAAAGTTGGGGCGCAAATGAAATGATTTAGGTGGTTGTCAGCTATTAGAATGGAAAGCACTGATGCAACTCAGAAAGCAGCAGTAGCCTGTTTGGAAAATAAGGTGGGAAAATGTTATGTTTAGTAAGTAGCTCTGTTGTGAAAATTTATCTGCAAGCAAATGGCTGGGGGAGTCTGTACCCTAGAGAAATGGTGCTGCTGTGCAGGACAAGGCTGGAGATGGCAGGTGGGGTAAGCTCTTGCAGCCATGGGAGGACAGGAGTTTGATCACCTCCATCTTGTCTGTGCTATGCAAGGTCCCTGATTAGTTTTCCTTGTGATCAGACTTGCTTTTTTGTAGCCACTTATCTTAAACAAGCTGCAAAAGAAGTTTTCTCTGACTTTTCTTAATATTACTTGTGAGTTTAGCCCATGATACTGGGTTCCTGTTTTGTTTTTGTTCTGTTTCAAGCGCTTGATCTCTCCTGGCTCTGTAGCGCAGTTGTGCCTATTCGGAGACTGCAGAGACAAGGCTCATTCCTAAGAAAATGTTTTGTATTGGCACAAAGTGCCTCACTAGTGCTGGACAACAGAAGAGCTCCAGAAGATGGTAGCTTCCACAATCTGTTACAACAAAATCCTATGGCTTTGTCAGTAGGAGACTGGGGAGTTTAGCAATTGTTTTAAGTGGAAGCATAGAGCCTTCAGAAATTATCAGATCTGCAGAAAACATGGTCATCTTTGCCCTGGTGAGCCAGAGGTGGCTGTGTGTGTGTGTGTGTGTGTGTGCGAGAGAGAGAGAGAGAGAAATTCTGCCCAGTACTTACCTAAGTTTCTGTTGCTGAATATAAATGCAGCTTTGTTTCTGTTGGCTTCAGTCAGAATGGATTTACAAGGCTGCTGTAGTGGTTGTGATTCAGGGTCTGGAAGGTACCTTACTGCCATGGGTCTTATCTTGCTGGTTTTCTTGTTTGTTTTTCTTGCTTTGTTTGAGCAGGTTTTTGTCACATTAACTTCCATGCAGATGGCTGGAGCTCATCTGGATCTGGCTGAATGTTGTGTATTTCTTTTGTAGGCATTCTTGTCAGTTCTCAGTGCAGTTTCCAATCCATACTATTTGGGTTATTTCTTATACACACGTAACAAAATAATTGTGTTGACAGATTGTTCCTACTCCTTTCTAATTCTCCAGAATACAGGAGAGGACTTCCAAAGTAAGGATGCTTTTTCTTGTTAAGGCAATGGCCAGAGCTCTGGGTCTGGTCCCTGCTAGGTGTGCTGTGTTTGATGCTGGTACTTCTGGGAGTGCTGTTGGGTTCTGTGGTCTGTTGCCATTTCTGGGTTACGCCACTCTTGTGGTGTCAGAACATCAAATCTCCAAGAAACTGACCTAAAAAAGTAAAAGTGATACTGTGAGGAGCAGTGCTCATGTACACTTACACAGGAGTGCCTTCCATTGGTGATGTTGTGCTGTCGTCACCTGTGAGACAGAGAATTCTTAGAATTTGGTTTTCTCTCGTCTTTTTTCTGTGCTTTAAGATGACTTTTGGAAAGAATTCAGAGGAAAGGCACCTAAAGTGGGGACTTCCAGCTACGTCTGTTAGTTTCTTGAACAGAAGATTTGTTTTTTAATTAATTCTTTCCAGTAATTTAACTTGATATCAGTAATGATTTATGTGTTTTAGATCAAGCCACACAGTGCTGACAGTTTTGCCGCTGCAAGTAGCTGATGTCTTGTATTGTGAAATTTGACATTCCAAAGTACTTAACTTGTGGTGGAGGAGCAGAAGTTGCTGTGTGGTTCTTTTTCAGCAGGGTTCTGGTAGTGGCAGTGGAGACGTGCAAATTGAATCAAGTCTAGAATTATCTCCAAGTTTTTGTAGTGCATTACAGATTTCTGTTAAACCAGTGAAGTATTGCTCTGGGATTTTTTTACTTAATAGAGTTTTTGAGAAGAAAATGCTATGACCCAGGCCTCGTTCATAATTACGTACATGGCAGTGAGTATCAGAGAAGGAATAAATGAATTGATAAGCTAGCACTCTCTGTATTATTAAAAGCAATTAAGTCATTGACAAGGCTTGTCTCTGACTTTGAATGTTGTAAAACTCTTTAATAATATTCAGAGAGAGCTCCAAGTTAATATTTAACATCTTTTTCATCTTTTGAACTGATGTTAGAACTAATTGGACAACTGAGCTGTAGAATAGATTGTCCCTGGTGGTGTGTTTTCAGAGACGTGGTCAGAAGAATAAATTGCAGAATGAAAACTGTGAATTCGCTTTTCCTGGATTTCAGAGTCAGCAGCCCAAGGCAGGATTGTATGTGCCTCGTAATTGTGAATGTATGACTGCATAGCAATTAATACTTAATTTTAGAAAGCAGATTTGGTTTTGCAAGTTGGAGGGGGAAAAAAAGCATCTCAAAATATTTACTATCATGAAAATCAGATTTCTGAAATTATACTAAAGAAATTTGTCTTCTGAGTAGTGAGTTTTCTGTCTTTGGAGTGAGTTACGGCTGAAACCTTCCCACGGTCAGCAGTGTATCACTGTTCCCACTGAAAGGCTGATTCAGATGAAAATTGCAGCTTCTGATGCATTTTTCTGAAGAAGGAACCGGCCGATGCTAGAGTGAAGCACTTTAGCAGTCACCTGTGTGATGTGGATGACGTGATATTAGAGCATGACGTGAACACTTAAATTTTGTCTTGGCATCTCCTTTCCTTTGGCTGTCAATGATCTTTATGATGCATTCACACACACAGCAAAAGAGCATTACGATGCATATGCCAATAATGTATGTGCCTGAATTATTTTTTCGGTTGAGCTGTGGGAGACCATTTTATTACGAAGGAGAGCTCAATAGTAACAAGTTCAGGTGAGATATCAGTTGTACCATTAAGCAGAAGGGAAAGATGTGTTGAAGAATGTCTTCCATTTTATTTCAGCTTTGAATACCTGCATTAAGTCACTTACTAACTTAGCTTACATAACTAACGTAACTTACTAACTTCAGTTCACCCCCTGGAGCTGTGGGTGTCCCTGTGCATTGCAGGGGTGTTGGACTGGATGGCCCTTAAGGGTCCTTTCCAGCCCAAACAATTCCATGGTTCTGTGATCAGTGAAAGTAGTGCAATACACTCTTTATCTTTTTATAATTAGTGCAAATTTATGATATACTGTAAGCAAGAGGTTAATTTTTCATTTTCCTGCAGAAGTTCACTGTTTTTTTTCTTTGTCCAGTGTCAGTATGGTATGTCTATTTGTTCCTTCTTGGTTGTTAGTTAAAGGATGGTATATTAGTGTTTGGCTGTGTTTACTTAGGCTAAATCATTCAGTATGCTTTCTGAAACTTTTTTCCTTTATGCCACTCCTGACTGCAGTGTGAATGCAGTGTGAACACATATGGCTAAACATTTTGTCTTTTGACAGTTGCTGGCTAGAATTTGGCTTTCCTTTTAGCTGGTTCTTTCTCCCCACATAAATAGGCACCATGGTGACGGTAGTCAAGTGACAAAGAAGCCGCCGTCCTGTTATCAAGTTCTAATAAAACTTCTCCTGAAAGCCTGTTTTTCATGCTTCCCTCCGTCCCATCCCCCCATTCTTTTGCTTTGCTGCAAGTCATTTGGCACGGAACAAGTTATATTCGTGAATCTATTTGGAAAGCATTGGTCATTAGCAATTAACAATACAGTTTGTTCCTTAATGTTCATTGCTAATAGAGCACACCGATAGCCGCAGAAACACTATTAACTGGAGATAAATGCAATATGTGCAGCTTGAAGCTAAGTATCTTTTTTTTAATATAGTAGAGTGAGTTTTGGCTTGAACAGAATTGTATCATTTTCTCATTTTCCTTCCTTTTAATCAAAACAGTGTGAAAGGAGGTGCTTTTCACTTTTCTTGGAGAACGCCGTGTCCGCTCAACTGAAGTCAATTACTTTAATTGTATCTTCTCTCTGCAGAGTTCATCCCAGGAAGCAAAATTCACGCTTGCTGCAAGAAGTCCTGCAAAATAATAATTGGAAAAAAAGCAGGGGGAAAAAAAAGCCATAAAAAAGATCCTAGCAGCACCAATATGCATTGATTTAGAGATTCATGCGTGAGACTCCTGGTTTTGGGAAGACTAACTGTCTTGCTTTTGGAAGCACTGGAAATCTGAAGTTCATGCTCATGAGAAGTCAAATTCAAGAGCCCGTGTTACTCAGTGTGGCTGCGGATTGCAGAGGCGACAGTAACAAGTCAAGCATTCTCTGTGAAGAAGGAGTTTCAGCTGTGTCCTTGTGTGTGCACTGCCGGCTGAGAGAAATAGCAGCCAGGCTGGGATAAAATGCCAGCGAGGGGTAAATACTTCTTCAGTGAAAGCGATGACTGCAGGATCACAGACCCTCTCTATGAGAAGTACCGTTACACGAGCCAGCAGCTTCCACTCCTGCTACTGCTGCTCTTCATTGCAATCATCTTCTGGACCACACTAATTATTATCTTTTTTGTCAAAGATGTGAGTATTGATCAGTATTCATTCAGCAAAGTGCAGGGATACTGTATGCAGAGGAAAGATGCAGCTTAAAGAAAGTTGTGGTTGTGTAGCATATTATAATTCTGTTTAAAACAAAAAAAAAAGAAAAAGAAACTAAAATAAAAATTCTCATGTTCTTCAAGTGTTCTCAGTTGACAGCAGTTAAAAAAAGAGTAGCTGATCTGAAGATAATGTTGTAAGAGTGATGAGGAAGCTGTTACAGTCTTTTATTGCCTTCTAACACTGCTTTGCAAATGCAGTGCTGCATGTGGAAAGAGTTAATTGCTTTAGGTTAATTGCTAAAGAGATTTAATCATACCAATTGTACTTGTAAACTGTTCAGCTTTTATTCCTTTAAAAAAGGAGAGTAGCAACAATATTCATATGTGTTGCAAGTCATCCTTTGTAAAACTTGGAAAAGAGCTGCTACACCACCTTTAGCAAAGCTTGAACTCCGTAAATGCATTTATCAGGATTATAACTTATCTTAAAAGACAACAACAAAAAGATTAGTTTGGGAAATGAAAATGGTGAAGCTGAAGCTGGGTGGACTGGATATCTTCAGTACTGTGTATTATCTCTGAATGTATCAATGCCGGAAAGTGTTAGTGCTGCTGCAGCCAGACTGCTTAGCTTTTAAAGTACGCTAACCCGAGTTCTGATCTGTTTCCAGGAGAGTACAAATGAATTTTCCAGTTTTTTTTTTCTAAAGGAGAAAGTTGGAGCAAACATAATGCTTTCTTTTGCTTTTTCAGGAAGCACGTATTCATCTTGCCTTCATTATTGCAGTATGTGCTGTTCTTGTCATATTTTCAGTCATGTACTTACTTTTATGTATCGAATCCTTATTTCGGAGATGGCTAACCTTATTTGGAGTTACAATTTGGATTTGCTTCTTAACGATAGGTTACATTCCTCTTCTTGAACGAGGAGATTATTTTTCAGCATGGGAACAGGTATGTATTTCCCAATTATTCAAGTATTTACCATAAAACCTGTGGTCGCTGTGTGTGAATCTGCTTGTGCACTTTATTTTTTCTGAACATTATAGCAGCCTAAAACTGAGATTTAGTGTGCTTTCCTGGATTAATTCATTCTGGTCAGTTTTTGTTCAGCTAAGAAGGTTGGATAATTGCACACTTCTATTTAGGAACTGCGTCTTTTCAGTTGTAATTTTACTTCTGTGTAAACAGGTTAAAAATCTTTACAAGTTCACTTCTAAGAGAATTTTGCATTAAAAAATTAGCTTTGATCGATTTCTGTGTGACGAAGTGGTGTTCAAGAAATGTGTAAAGGACCCTGGAACTGGGTGTGCCTTAGAAAGCATGTTTTCACATCATGGCAGAGGTGAACAATAAGAATTAATGACACGTCCTGGCATAGCTGGGTGCGGTTCAAGTTCATTACTTGGTATCTGATCAGAAGACGGGAGATTTTGTGATGCCAAGAATACCATAATCTGTAGGAAACTCCTCCTAAATTCTCATAGTATAAACAGAAGGGTTTTCAATAAAATAAAAATGAGTTTTTATCTTGTTTTACTGACTCTTCCCTTTCCCCTCTTTATTTCAGATAAAGAAAGATATAAATTATGAGTTAAACAACCCATATCTGATTGTATTATAGCCTGGATCCAGCACCAGTATTTACAGTATTCAGTATTTTTTATTTAAGAAAGGAGATATCACCATAAGAAAAAAAAATCAAAACAAAACCAAAATCGAGTTCTTAATTATAGATACAAACATGTAATTAAGCAAGATTTGGTTCTGTTGCTTTCAGTGCTGCAACACAGTGTCTTGTGTCATTGTCACTTGGTAATAAAGGTGATCTAAAGCCAAAAATAGAAGGCAACTATAGATTAGAAAGCAGAAGCAAATAGGAGAATTCAAAAGTTTTACTGCAAGTTCTTAATTTATCACAGATTAAGGCTACTGTTTAAATGAAGTGTAACCTCTGCTTGTCTGGGCTTATAAAAATATTGCACAGCATTCAGAACGGTCTGATGAGGGTTGTAAGGAGGAGGAAGTTTTGGTGCAAATGAAATAGTAAAGATGAACGTTTAAAAGGTTACTCCTGTTGGATGAAACCTTTTATTTGTTTGCTCGCTTGTTACGTTCTGTCTCAAGCAAAGAGATCTGTGCTGATAAGCATTTCACTGTAGTCTGGGCCTTGAAACTTCCTTGGAGGAAGCTGCTGTCTGGAACAGCATGAGTTGAGTTGCAGTGGGGAGAAAGAGCTGAGCGAGAGACACTGCCATATATTCTGATTGACATTGTTACTTTGCACGTATGTGGAAACTATTGGCTATAACAGATCTATAAATATGGATGTAACTTCTGTAGACGTTCCTTTTTATCCATAGCTGTGTAGCAGAACATAGTGCATTTTGTAAAATCTCTTCTGTTAAATACATAGTCAGTGGCAATAGTGATTATTCTCTTGTGTCAGATTGAGAACTATTATTTGGGCTTTTGATTTTATCAGATATGGAGTAAATAAACAAGTAATGTGGTACTTTTAAGATTAAAATACTAACTTGGAGAGGGTGAGAAATCCCATTCTGTTCAACTTTGCTACCCTTGCAGTGCACTGTTCTTGATAGATAAAGTGCATCTTCAGCTGTAATGGATGAGCTAAGAGTGAAGGGCAAGGACAACTGGAAAAATTAAGTGATGCATTGTGTTAATCATTTTGTCTTTGAATCTTTATCTATTAATTCCCTGGAAGCTTTTGGGGCTACTTCTTTCCTTATGTTTTTAACTCTGCTTTAGAAATGTCAGTATTTCATTGTTCAACTTCAAAATGAGAAGAATGCTGCTGCTTTCCTTCTTTAGTGAGTTTTGTTAAGCACACAATAATGTGTGTGTGATTAACTGTTTTGGTTTTTTTTTCCCCTTTAACTAGGTGCCATTTTTTCTGTTCATAATCTTCACAGTGTATACCATGCTACCCTTTGGGATGAGAGATGCAATCATAATTAGTGTTCTTTCTGCTCTCTCCCATATTATCGTTCTAAGTGTGTTATCCAAGGATTCTTATGCAGATAAAAGATCCATTCTGTTTCAGGTAAGGAAAAGCTACTTTAAGTCATTAAATAACCTAGTCATATTACCATTTGATATTGGCATAACTATCCTGGTTAGATTAGGTTCCAAACTTCCACAAAGTTCAAGAATTTGGATCACGAGCCCATGTCTGTTTTGCATGCCTTCAATAAAAAATTATTTACTTTCATTTATAATACATTTTGATTTTCTAATGTAAGGGAAGAAGCAGAATTTCTTAACTGTTACTCAGTGTAAGACAAAGTTTGTCACAATCTTTCTTCCCAATCTGTGATGTTCAGATGGGTTCTATCTTCATCTGACACTGCCTGCTGGGTGGATCAAAAGGGCCACTGCTGCCCCAGGGAGTCAGGAGGGCCTGGGAGTGCTACAGAACCTTTTGGTGTTCCTATCCCTTACTTACAGGGTGTGTTCACAGCAGCACCTTGCTCTTTCAATGCAGATATTTGTCAGACTTCACACAGCATGCTGATGCATGGTTTTGAGAGTCAATCACTGGTGTCTGCAAATAAAAGTGCTAAGTGGTACAGCAGAGTTGTTTCGTTGTACTGCTGTATGTTCCCACCTGAGTGCCCTTACTGTGTGAGTTAGCTTCTGTTGTCCAGGTACATCCTGGCCAATGGACATGTTGTCACTTGGTGTGTAACAGGGTAAGGGAAAGGGGAATGATGCCTGGGATCAATTACTTTTAAGGAGCTAGTAAGCATACTGGTGAAGTATCGATGACTGTTCTGCAGTAGGTGAATATTTTTCTTGTGCAGGTACTTGCCAATGCTGTCGTTTTCCTTTGTGGTAATTTGATGGGTGCATTTCACAAACGCCAGATGCAGGTTGCTTCGTGGGATTTGTATAGATACACGTTAAAGTGCATTCAGGTCCGAATGAAACTGAAGATTGAAAAGAGGCAACAAGTGAGTGAAGTGGTTCTTGCTATGAATTGCTTGTTTGCATTTCTAAAATTGGTGCAATTTTATAAGGTTTGTGATTAATGTTCGTAGAAGGGCTTGGGCAGATCTTCATAATACCCACCTCGCATGAAAAATAAAAGTTGTGCCGTTAGTAACAAAAGAGGGAAGTTGAAAGGAGGAAGCTGTTCCATGCAGTTTGTCTGTATGAAAATCACAGTATTTGTTGCAAGGATGTTACTGCCAGTTATTTCAGCTAACTTGTATTTCCTAGCACAAAAGGTTGATGGGGCTGGCCTAACCCAAAAGAACATGTCCTTAATGTCCTGACAAATACTTTGGGGTAATTTCAGCAGTTTTGTGCTTCCCTTTGTTATGAATTTTCTTTGAAATTCTGCAGTATTGTTTGTTCTTTTATTTTCTTGTCTCAGAAACTGTTTTGCTAGGAGAAAATTGAAACTTAAGTGGAAAAAAAAATCCAGGCTGGATGTGGCTCTGGGCAGACTGGTCTAGTGGCTGGTGACCCTGCACATAGCAGGGGGATTGAAATTAGATTATCATTATGGTCCTTTTCAACCCAGGCCATTCTGTAATTCTATGAAAAAATCATATAATACATTACAGTTCGGAGTATGATAACATTTACATCTCTGAACTCCAGGGATATTTAAGGAGTAAGCAAGGAACTTTAATCTCCTACTGAGGAAGGACTGTAAGGAAGTATCAAAGCTGAAAGTAGCATGCCTTCCTTTTATCCTGGTGTGAGCAGGGTTAGGAACAGCAGCTCTTGAAGGCTGATGTGAGCTGAGTTCTCTGCCCACAAGTTCCCAGATAAAAGGAAGGGGCTGAGGAGTGACTGACATGACAGAATTGAAAAGAATGCCTCTGATGCTAATCTTGTGAGATGACAAACCTGCATGAAAACCCTGGCAGAAAGCTGTTCCCTGTGCAACAGCCAGCAAAGTATTTAAGCAGCTTACAGAAGCACTGTGCTTCTAAAACATCCTTGGGTGATGTGGTAACTTGCACATATGTTTTATGGTTGTTTGTTTGAAGTGAAGATGAGCTGAAGTCTATGGACAGTTTACTTTTCAGCTGTGTTTGCAATTTGCCAGACAATTATCTTTTTGCCACCCATTTTTTCCCTATGAAGATAATACAAGAACTGCAGGTTGGGGTTCATCATCACTTCCTTGAAAGCTGTGTAACATGTCAGCAAGCATCACATGGCCCCATGACATGCAGTGGGGCTCTGTTTTCATTTGAGTTATTCCCCAAAGTTTGCTCTCCTATTAGTAAATTGCTGGAGGAGAGAAAGGAAGCTGTTCTATTTCTGGGAGGCAGTCTCAAGCCAGACTGCTGTCTGGGGCTCATTTAGCCAAGTGCTTGATGAGTTCCTTCTTCCCACTGTGATCCCAAGGAATTTATTTTGGTGGCAAGTGCTGGTTAAGCAATCCTGGCAGCTTCTTCCCGTCTGTGGACTGCTGCATGGTTTCTTGGGAAAGGGAGACAAACTTTAGGCAGAAGGGACAGAGTTTTACTCAGTTACACAATCGTCTGGCTTTGCTGGCAGTGTCATCAGAAGTTCCTGCTCGTAGCTGCTCCATGCGGTGTTTCCCTTTCTGTGGTGACCCTGCTATGGAGCAGCAGAGCCCTTCCTGGATTAAAAGTACTCTTCCTTTGTATTCCTCTTCTGCCTGGCAGATTCATGCTGTCTTCTTTTGAAGAACAGGCTTTTAAGACAAAGCCAGCGTAACAGATAATGCACTGAATATGCAAGTAATGTAAGTGGTTTATGAAAAGATTCATTCTCACACAGCTCAGAAAAGTTTTATTTCGGTGGCATCAGTTGCTGGTTTGCTCTGTTTGTGAGTTTTTAATACTGCATAGATTACTAGTTACAGAAACTAAGCTTTTATCTAAAGTTTATCAGAAAATGCTCATGTAATCCTGAGATTGGCTTTGGGGGGGGCCGCGGGCGGTTTTATTTTATCTAGAAATTGTAGTAATATTGATTTTCTTTACTCTGTTTCATAGTTAGAGTTATGTGGCATCTGGGTCACAAGGAAGAAAATAAAATGCAACCCTTACTCAGTTGTAAAATCAGTGTTTTTGAGAACTGAAATGGAACAGTTTTTTTCTGGACAATGTGACATTCATTCCTCAAAGGGTGATTGAATAAAGAGGTTTTATCTCCTAAATTGCTTTTTGTGGTCACTAAATCCTGCGGCTTCAAAATTAGTATATGAAGAGTTTTACATCCTTCATTTTTTTCCCCCCCTTTTAGGAAAATTTGCTTTTATCCATACTGCCAGCTCATATATCTATGGAAATGAAGCTGGCAATCATAGAGCGACTAAAGGAAACTAATGATAATAGGCAAATGCATGACAACAACTTCCACATTCTATACGTTAAAAGGCATGAAAATGTTAGGTAAGTTGAAATACTAGAGGTATTTGTATTAATATAAGCTGCTAATTTCTTAGCACATGTTGTTCAGTGGTACTGAAAATCAGAGACAGACTTTCAGGGTGAAGTGAGCTCCTTTCCTGTCCATGAAAGATAACGTCACCCAGACTCGTAATGAGTCAAGATACTTCGCCCTGTTTTCAGGAGTTGTTTTCCTAAGGCTGAGGTGCTTTCTATTAAGTGTATTTTAATGTGTAACTGACTGTGGAATAGACACATCTTTGTATTTCATCTGTTTTTTTTGTTTTCCTTTTGTTCTTGTCTAGTATTCTCTATGCAGACATTGTAGGATTTACTCGCCTTGCCAGTGACTGCTCTCCTAAGGAACTAGTAGTGATGCTGAATGAACTTTTTGGAAAGTTTGATCAGATTGCAAAGGTACGTGTTGCAGTTTGTTGTGCAGCAGGGATTTAATTTAGTTAAAATTCAGTTGTTAGAACTTCAAAGTACTGGAAAATAAGAGGGCCCTACTTACTGTATGGTATCAAAGCAGGAATTAAGAATGCACAAAAGTAAGTCATGCCATCCTAGCTGCTTTTTTGCTACAGTAGGAGCTGGGGTGAGAGATACTTGGTCACTGTTTGCAACTGCTCCTTGGGTATAAGAATATAAAAGAGTTGGGATTTTGAGTGATACATCTGAATTTTTCACTACTTTCTGCAAATGGCCTGGTTTAAAAAGCACTTGCATTTTGTGAGACAAGGTCTTCCAGCTCTCTTGTTGGGCTATAAGAAGAGATTCTTGTGGTGTTTTGTATTTCTTTATTTTTTTTATTCTCTGTTTTTGTTCTGTCATCTTTTCTATTATGTAAGGATGTTGTAGGCTCCAAACTGCCTAATAAAAGCTAACCTGGAAACTGAGCTGGATACTGAAGTCTACCAGCTCTAACATAAGGTTACCCACTGATCTCCAAAATGGAGAAGCTCAGGGCTGTGTGAGCTGGTTTACTCAGAATCTACTGGGTGGCTTCAAATGTTGGAGAATAACAGACATCCTTTTGAGGCTTGAAGTGACAAGAACAGCTTAGTTTGATCACTTGACACTGATTTGTTGCAAATGATAGTATTTTTTAGTTGGTGGAAATACTGCTTGGCTGTTCCCCAGCAGGGATGGTTTTGCAGCTGGAGTGGCAGCTGTCCCTGATTATGACATCTCCCCTTGTCAGTCAAAACCTTCACAGCCTGGCCTGCTTGTAAACTTTGTAGCTAAAATTTGTCAGTACTATCTTAACAAAAGACAATATGATGAGGTCTTCTTTTCTCTCTTCAGCCAACAACAGGCAATCGTCTTCTGTTGCACAGTTTGGGAGTTTTCTGCTGCCAAACTGCTTTGATGTTAAGTGACAGCAAACTCTGCTGTGTACCAACTTCCTCTTCCATTAAATTTAAAAATAAAATTTTTGTATGCAGATATACCAGGTTAGGAATCCTAATTCCTAACTTCTCCCTAGATTCTGTGAAGGTTTTATGACACTGCCCTAAAAATCTGATGAAAAGGTGAACAAAGTGATTAATTTATTATCACCTGAATAAAAAAGATGAATAAAAGATAGTTAAGTTTCATCCTCCGAATGATAAATTCTTTGAAAGTTTTTTTCACTGCTGTAATTCCATTGATAGTTTTTTTCAGTTGCAAACAGTTCCAAGAATTAATTCAGAAATTATTAAGATTGGATTTCAGAAACACTTGAAGTAGTAATTTCTGTTACCCTTAAGTCATTTGAATGCAGAGAATGAGAAGTAGGTTTTGCTTCAAACAGGATTGAATACAACCTTACTTTGTCACAATGACGTAGAGAAGTCCTAGTTTTGGTGTCATTAGTCTCCTTGCAGGTTTTTCTTTTCTTTGTTTGTTTGTTTTTTCCCATTAAATATGTTAATCATTATTTTTCAGGAGAACGAATGCATGAGAATAAAAATCCTGGGAGATTGTTACTACTGTGTCTCAGGACTACCTGTGTCCTTGCCGGTCCATGCCAGAAACTGTGTTAAAATGGGACTGGACATGTGTGAAGCAATAAAGTAAGCATAACACAAAAGACTTTTTAATTGTATAGACCCTATAAAGGTATTGAATCAAGTTATTGTTAGTGTTGTCATTGTCAAATGTGATTTATTGCCTCTAGTTTGATAGTTACACATCAGGTCGTAAGTTTGTCTCTTGCCTTTGCACTGAGCATATAATGAGACTAAACCTTAATAGATCTCCAGAAGGAAGAGAGAAGGACAGAAATCTAAATTATGCTCTAACTCCTCTCTTCTACAGGCAGGTGAGAGAAGCTACAGGTGTGGATATCAACATGAGAGTTGGCATTCATTCTGGGAACGTGCTGTGTGGTGTGATCGGCCTCCGCAAGTGGCAGTACGACGTCTGGTCTCACGATGTTTCCTTAGCCAACCGTATGGAGTCTGCAGGCGTACCTGGGTGAGGTCCTCCACTCTCACTGCTGGCTCACTGTCATCACCTTTCTCATAGTCGTGGCTTGTGGAATTTGTAACTGTTCCGTGACACAAATCAATACAATGGTGTGAATAAAATGGGACAAATGTGTACTTACCTGAGCAGTAAAAAGCTAATGTTTTCTGGTTGTTATTTTTTGATGAGCTATAAAACTATATTATTAGAACAGTGACTACTTCTTGACCTCTCCTTCATTTGAGAAAGTTGTGTGGCTTTAGTGCTGCATTATTGTGTCGGCTTGACCTGTGTTGGGTACAAGGATAATAGTAATTTGTAAGAATAGAAACAGAATTTAGGTTGACAAAGAAAAGCTGCATATTTACAGCGGCCAGTGTTTCTGCTGATATATCAGTTGGTTCCTTTGTCACTTGATTTATATTAGATCTATGTTCAAACACTTCACGACCCTGAACTCTCAGAAATTAAAATAAACCCTGGAGAGGAGTGTAGGAGCGTCCAAGGAAGAAGAATTTAGAGCTGTTGGCTGTTGTGTACTCTCTCTGAGCTGTATTTGGCACGGGCAGAATGGGAAGGAGAATGAGTAGGCCTGGATGGATGAGCTGGGGCAAAATGTAGCATGACTTGCTTTGTGTCACTCAGCAGAGCAGGGTGTTTGGCTTGAGCCTCAGATTTTTTCTGTGCTTTTGAAGGTACTCACTGAAAAGGACAATTATAAATGGTTGTTTTTTTTTTTAAATGCTAGCACTGCTTACTTTCCTAAATGAGGATAATACAGTTGTTTTTTAAGTTGAACCTTGGGGATTAAAATTTGGCAGGTTTTTTTTTTTTTCCTGTCTTTCAGTGGTTTACACAGAATTGACCATATTGAAAGTTTTGTTTTTTCCTTTCCCAAACAATGCTGTAATTTTGCAAGTTCTTGGTATTTGCAAATTAATACTTATTAATGGAATGGCATTCTGAGAGGTCTATATTTTCCATTGAAAACTATGAAGCATTGAGATTCTGATTACTCTTATTTTTTTTCTGCTCAATATCACTGTCATTGTAGAGTGTCTTCTTATTTGTATTTTAGGTAAGTCCTGCAAAGTAGGAGGATATGAATATCACATTCTTTTCTTTCTTTGGTAACAGAAAGCAGACTAATTGGAACTTAATGGTTGCAATATCATCCAGGCTGAGTGTTTCAAAGCAATTCTGCATGGTTAAACAAAAATACAGAGTTGCGAAGTTTCTTTTCTTGGCAAAGCAAACAACACAATTCTGAATATGACATGAACACCATACAAATATCACATTTAGGACTATTGCCGAACCTTAAAAACTGATTATTCCAACGCGTTTGTCATGCAAATGTTTGATTCTCTGATAGAAATAAAAGTTATTTTAGGTTTGCTTGCTGATTCCAAAATGTAACACACAATACTTTCTGTAGCACTCACTTTCCATGTGTTAAAACTGGCCACAGGAGTTCTTCTGTTCCTGGAAGACTGAGCCTCCCAGGGAGGTGGGATTTCTACTTGTTGTGTAGTTTCTACTGTGGAAAAATAATCTGTCTGGGGTTCTCCATAGTTTCCAATCCTAGCTAGTTCTCCTTTGGAAGTCAGCAGAAGTTTTGTCACTGGGAGCAGTGTGAGGCTTTTATTTAAAATAGGAAGTATAAGTGTGTTGGGCCTTTGAGTGAAGAAATTCTGAAGACTTTTGAAAAGATGCAGAGAAACTGCTCATTTTATGAGTAATTTATTCCTTTTGACTGAGTATCCTTGTTCTTCTTTCATAGTCTAAAATTTATTTACATTTGTAATAACATAATAATATATTGGTAAAACAACAAGCACAGCACCTAGATTAAAACCACATTTATGACCATTTCTCTAACATAGATGTGCCTGAAACACTGAAATACATGCTCAGGCATATTAGCATAGGGAAGTGAGAATGTGGTGTTTTAGGTATTCTGCTTTGATAGAGGTGCCTTAGTGCATGTCAAAGCTTGCCTTGAGAGGCAGCTTTAGCAGCTTTTGTTATGTGTTGATCATGGAATCCAGTAAAGCATTAGTAACTGTTGGAAGTTGTCAGCATAATATGTCAAATAGAAAGAAGTTTACAGTAAGATCTGAAATGTGTTATGACAGTGTGTGATTTGGAAAGAGGAGAGAGGATCCATAACAAAAGTGGATACTGAACAGATGAGGTAAGTAGAAAAAGACAGGAAAGTGTGTGTTTTAAATGCTGAGTTAATACAGACATCACTCAGTATGCCTCAGCTCCTGTGAGGGGGGAGAAGTGGCAATCAGAAGCTGGCTGTAAGATTTCAGATCCAAATACTTGCCTGTATTTCAAAACCACTTAATCCATTGGAAAAAAAAATCCCCAAACATAGTCTTTTTAGAAAATTGCCCATAAGCAAAAACCTCTTACCTTCTAGTTCCAAAAGAATTGTGGGATTTTTTGCTCTTCTGTGGGAAGCCACAGCCCGTGGGTCTTCAGCTCTTGGCTGCTTTATCTTCACATATCCTATTCAGGTTAAGAAAGTTGAGCTGGACTGGACCATCACCCCCTTTTTTCTGCAGTTAGACAGGTGCTGTCAGTTTCCATTCTAGACGTGTGCTGTTACCAGCTCTGTGCTGATAGCTTGTAAGGATGATGGTGCAGTGGTTAACCCCTCTGTGCCAAGGAAAAATGAGAAAGTTGTGGGATGATGGCAACTAGAAAAAATATAACAAAATTATGTGTATATATACACACTTATGTATATAGATGAGGCCTCTCATATCTCAAGATACGAGGTCTCTCATTGAGAGGTGTTGTGTGGAAGAGTGTAACTCATCATTTCCATGGAAATATGTGATTCAGGACGCTGAACTAAGTAACATCCAAGGGGAAAGCATGAGTGGACACAAGTGCCAGCTGCTCCCATTAGACATGTTGCTGTGTTATAATCTAGCTGTTTCTGTCAGAAAAGGCAGACTTCAAGACTTACCCTCCTTGTTGACAAAAACCTTTTCCAATTTTTTTCCATATTTTCTTTGTCACTCCTCGTGCATTTCCAGCCCAAGACTGTCCTCCTTTGTGCGTTTTATGTGAGCTTTCCGTGCAGCTCTTACTATCCGCAGCAACCTGCCTGTGTGTCTGTTTTCTCAGTCATCAGATCTTCGGTAATGATGTTTTTTCTCCTATCTCCCTCTTTCTCTTGCTGCGCTTATTTCTTTTTAATCTTGTACTGATGCTATCTCATTCTGGGAAGTGTTTTTTGGGATACTTTGTATGAAAGATGTACGACAAAGGACTGCGGTGATGGATTGCAAATGCAGTTTTAAGTACTGGCAGGATTTTGGAGTTCGCTGCCAAAGCACGTGGTGGCTGAAAAGCAGAAATGTAGCAGTAGCCATTGAAATGTAAATGAAATGCTTAGTATGACCTTTCTCTAAATGCTTGGTTGTCTTTTTCTTTCTTCCATTCTCAGTCGTGTACACATCACTGAAGCAACGCTAAATCACTTGGGCAAGGCTTATGAAGTAGAAGAAGGAAATGGACACCTTAGAGATCCTTACCTTGAATCCATGAATATCAAAACCTACTTGGTGGTTGATCCAAGGGTATGTGCATGTTTTTAAACACATATCTAAATTCATACATTTTAATTAGAGGTGTCTGTGGGGTGAGTCATCTGAATAATTTAGAGTTGGGACTGCAGATCTGAAAGCACATCCTTCAGTTCTGTGTCTAAAACCTCATACGTGGTTCATACAGTCAGCATTTATATTCGACCATGTGTTTGCTTGAAGCATGTGGCTTACAAATTCAAATCAAAAGGTGATATGAAGTCATGAGAGAACACCCATGCTGTGTAGCCACTTCCAGATACAATGTTCTCTGTGAAGTAGCTTCCAGCAGCTTCCAGTAGCTTCTCCATGCTGTTTTATATGCAAGACTCACCTTCCTTTCAAGCTATGAGGTTAGAAACTGTTACCCATTTCGGGATGAGTAACGCCTCAAGCATTACTAGTTTGGATTGGCTTGCGGCTGGCAAGTAAAGCACTTCAAAAGGAAAAACAGAAACGGTGAACTCCTTTCCTTCAGGATCTTTACAGGGAGAGACAGTGTAGAGCCACTTTTAATTATCAAGAGCTCAAACTCATCTTCCTTGTATGTTTTCTGTACACAACACTGAAACAACCTTCCCCACTGCATGCCCAGTCCACAGATTGAAGATCTAGTTCCATTGAAGTGGTCTCTGCTCACATGGAGATACCCATGAGATGGTAGCAAGTAGCCAGTCAGTGATGCATCCATTTATTCTGTAGTTTAATCTTCCTTTTAGACCCACAGAGGAACTGCTGCATGAGCACTGCCTGTTTACCTGTTGTATAAGGATATAATCTAAGAGGGAGTCTGTCATCTTTTTGCTGACTATTGTTTTGATATGCTCTAGCTCAGAAATTGGGAATCTTATATTCCTGCTGTTGTGCTGATTGCATGGCAATTGTACCTATAGTCCCAGGATCTCTGGTATCATCACTCTCAAACCAGGAAGCTTGGAAGTTGTTTTACAAGTGAAGGCTTGTAAAGGCAGCTCAAGCAAATTCATTATGTCATGATTTACTACAACTGAAATTAATTAAATGAGAGAAAGGAATCGAGGTTGGCCGACTTTGCTGATGAATGTCAAGTCCTAATAAGTGGCTAGGTTAGTTTCCTGTTACTCAACTACACTGAGCTTTGTTTGCTTGTAATTTGTATCATTACCTGTTTTCTAAGTTACTGTGTTTTTCTGTTAGTCCAAACAGCGCATATCAAATAATCATCTTCCTAAAACAAGAGTGAATGATGGGCTGAAGATGCGGGCATCTGTTCGGATGACACGTTATTTAGAGTCCTGGGGAGCAGCCAGGCCCTTTGCCCACCTAAACCACAGAGAAAGTGTGAGCAGTGACTCTTCGACTTCACAAGGAAGGCAAAGAAAGGTGAAGTTTGAAGTGTTTATGTCATCTTAAAATTATGAACTACTTGTGTCTGTGGTTTGAAACTTGAAATCTGATGTATTTTTTGTGGGTGGATTCCTGCCGTTACTTTAAATATGTGTACAGATCTGAGCAGGTATCTGTGCAACAACTACTTCAGTCAGAACAATATTCACACTCCCCTTAAGTCTAGCATATCATACTTGTAGTAAACCTTCAAAGAAAAACATTGAAACTATCTTTTCTTCTGGCATTTCTCCATTCTGGGTTGTACTCAATATGTGTGGTTTTAGGACAAATTATTTCTTTTCTAGCTTCTAGATGCATTCATGATTTACTTGAAATGTTATGGAAAATAAATCGTCCCTCCATCTATAGTAGGCTTTTGTCAGTAAATAATTTAAGAAAACTCATTTTTCCTATGATCTGCCATTACTGGAAGCTGAAAGGAGGAGATGCACACCTCTCAGGTGTGCTTCCAAGGCCCAACAGAGGCCTAGAGATGGCAGTGGCAATTTTAAAAATGAAGTATCATTCCATTCAGGTTTGTGCAAGTAGTTTCCTGTTTACTTGTCTCTGCTCATCTTAGTTATTTCAGTGTATGGAGAAAAATCAGAGAAATTACTTGTTAAATTATTTTCTAATAATTTTTACAGAAAGGACAGAAAACACCCACTTGTTAAAGCAGAAAATGTTGCTGGGAAATGTTGGTTTTGATAGGCCTTTATGTTTGAGAATGTTTTTTGAATGTTTGTCAATAAAACTGTTTTTTTACTTCCTCTCAATAGTTCATTCTCAATAGTTGTTCACATTGTTGAGTGTGTAACTTGTTCTTTATTCCTTACGTGATTTAGGAAATACCTCTGTGTTCCACTGGGCGCCAGAGGACTTCTGACAGGTTTGTTGAGTTTGGTTTTTTTTTCTTGATATGTGATTCTCTGTTCTGCCTACTATAGGTATGTGATCTTTCGGCTGATTAATCAGCGTGTATGCTGTTTCCACAATAAAAATGTTCAGCTAGGCCTCTGGACTTTTAAAAGGCATCTAAATTCATGTTTGTTATAGTTGGCACTCTCCAAAGGCTTTCTCCCCAACCCATCTTCCTTCAGTTTTGAAAGTAGCCAGATGTTATTTTAATGTGATTTAGGATACCTGTACTTGTCAAAAAGCTTTTTAGTTAAGATAAACAATGTGTGTGATAATTCCACTGTGTAGTTTGGATAGAGAGGATTAAGAGATTACTGGTTTCTGAATAGCATTTGTGACATGGACTTCATATTGTTCACAGAAATTCCTCTCAGAAGGGAAGAATAGAGGAAGATATTTATGATGAAATGATGTCAACCATTGAAGGACTCAGTTCAACTAAGTATGCAAAGCTTTTATTTTCTGTCATCTTTTTTTTTTCTCGATTTTAACTCCAGATGCAAAACTTACTTCTCAAAAGTGCTACCAGGTATTTGTCTTGCAATTTTTTGTTTAAATTGAATTTCCTTTTTGCTTTAGTTTTCAGTAATAATCTTGTTATTTTCATTCTTTGAGCAAGCCAACGGCTAGTCTAGCTGTTCTATGTGGTATGGCACTGTGAAATAACAGAGTTATCGCTTTAGGACTGTCCAAAGCAATGAGTTGAGTTGCAGTGCAGGGACAGGAAGTTAATACTTGTATTCTGTTTATTAAAATAAGAAATATGAAGATATGGGGTGCAGTCCTGACCAAAGCCTATGTATAAAGCCAAAATGTGGTTTTGGGGTATTAATAAAGTTGATTTAATGTCAGATTAGTTCACTGTAAATGGTCAGTCAGTAGCAGATGGTGCGTTTGGCATTAGTAGGCATTTGGATTTGATGATTTTTGTAGGTCCATATTCTATTGTTGCATTTAAAAACAGACAAGAGTGGGCAACGTTGTCTTTTCCTTGGGTTTTTTTTTTTTTTTTTGTTTTGTTTTAAAATACAGAGTTAGATTTCCTATCAAATGTGAACCAGTGAATTCAAGAAGAAAATCTTTCATCTAAATTACGGCAAGGACATTAACACTGTTCTTCCTACTATTCCTAGTAGGTGATGCTGTTGGTAATACTTAAGGGCAGAGTTTGGAGGCTGTCAGCCATCTCTAACACTTGCTGTCCTATGTGACTATTTTTAAACTGCAAAAAAGGTCTGGGGTTATGTTTTGCACATAAATGGCAAAGTCTGCCGTTAGTGCAAGTTCTGGATCTGCCTGTCAACAACCTAAAAACTTAGCAGTTCATGGGTCACCCTATGAATTATAAAGACTTTTCAGAGCAGTCAAATGTGTATACATCTGCAGCACCATCACCCTGTATAAGTACAGTGCTTTTGCATCCTTCCTGGGCTGTTCTGTACATTCTGTAACATGTGTATCTCTGTGCATGCAGCCCATGGTGTGGCAAATCTGATGACTTCTGTGGATTTTCACTGATATTTGCAGAACCTGGTCTTGAAAAAGAGGTTGGTAAGAGCAAAATAATAGTTTTTGGTCTGATTTCTGGTTCAGAGCAGCATAACAGTATACTTAAAACCGTGTTTTCGTTCTTGAACTGGATTCTGGAGATGAGTGCAAACCCAGAGAGGTTTTTGGTACCTAATGGAAAGTGGGTCTCATGATTCGTTTAAGTTGGCCACTCTTCCTTGACAATCCGTGTTCTGGAAAGTGTTTCTAATCTGTGGTTAAATTCTTGCCATAAGGAGTCAGTAGGAGTTAGGATGGTTTTACCATATGAACAACTTTCAAAAGTAATGAGAATTTAAAAAATATAAATACTGCATCCATAATAAAATTACTTTCCATGGTTGTTGCATTGCAACTATAATACCATTATTGTTAGGTTCCTAAATTTGCTGTGCTGTGATGCGTGTGCATAGTTGCTGGAGCACATATATATAATGAACCAATATGTAGTGTGTGGGTATTTGTAAAAACACACACATGTATGTATGTCTACACACACGTGTCTATACACTGGATCTACTTCCATGTATGTCCTTTTTTTGTAAGGATTTTGATCACACAAATCTGTGAAGTTCTAATTTACATAATTGGCGCTGGATTTTCCTCTAGGCTAAAAATTATCCTTTGCTCTGGGCTGGTGTATGTTGCAAATGTTCAGGTGACTTTCCTTTGTTGTTTTTTAGTTCTACGTATGTTTTGAATAGTGCAGTGTAAACTTCTATATATATGTAATCACAAAAACGGTATAGCATTTTAAACAAGGTAATGTTCTTTATAATAATCTGATTTATTAAAATCTGTGTTTCAGTATCGCACCATTACCATTCTGAAACTGAAGAGTTACTTTGCGTGTGCAAGTTTTGTGTTCCTCTGTATTTTTCTGATACAAGTGTTTGTAATGCCCAAGTAAGTGCCAGTATTTTAATAACTTCAAATTCAAATTAGCCAATAGCTCAAGTTGAAACTCACATGCATGAAACTTTTTGAAGTCCTTTGGGGTTCCTGAGGGGTGCCCCTCTTGGGTGTAATTTAACCCTCCATAAAAGGGTGCGTTTGTGTTGTTGGGAAATGAGCCCAGATATCACTATGAAAATAAAACATAGATATTTCTTAAATAACCTGTATGACTCTTTAGTGTACACAGGGAGATGATCTGGGGATTGAGGATTACTGTTTTGTAACAGCTGGCTGTAAAAACGTTGACTGAGTGCGGAATAGAAGAATGGCTGGTAAAAAGGTGCTCAGTGCTCCTTTTTTCTGTAGAGCTGCAAGAAAAGAGCTTCCAGTTTCTTCGCATACTTCCAAGAAAGCAGATGTTTGATGTTTCTGAAGTTTATAGCACAGTTGTTTTCTTCACGGCTGTTGGAGTGCAATTTCCATGTGATTTATGCATAAGGGTAATAGCTCAGGCCCTCGGTGAGGGAATAGGATAATTTAGTTGTATTTGTACAACACAGCAACAGTAACTTGAGCAATTTGATGGTTATCCAGGGCCAACAGCAGGGGAAAAAAAAGCCTATTCAAAATTTAAGAAACAGTGTTAGGAAACATTAGTCTGAAGTGCAGTCTGAATGACATTTTCATTTAGCGCTGGTTTGTTTAAATGCTTTCTCTTCTCTTTAGAACTGCAAAACTAGGAATTTCCTTTGGCATCGTTGGAATCATCATTGTACTTATTTTGTTTGTGTGCTTTGCTGAGAAATGTATGGTACGTATGAAAATGTGGACAGATGTGATTTGGCAGTTCAGTCTGTCTTTCAGGATGATGGGGTAAGCTGCTAGTTTCCATAGGAGCTGCAGGAGTGTAGGACCTCAGGTTGCCAGAAGATTTTACTGCCTGAAATGGATTGTCGTGTTTGAAAATTATTACTGTAATTCAGAATAATTTGAGTACCAAAATAGATGGCTAGGAGGGAGGAGGAAGTTACTAACACTTGTGTGACAGGGCTGTTTTCTTATTTATGTTCATTTCTGTGTCATTAATAGTAATTTTGGCTGTAAATCCTGAGGTTTCTATAGTGGAAACAATATTAAAAGCAAAACAAAGTTTGAATTAGTTTTCATAATAATTTGTAAAGCCCTAAGAAAATTATAAACATATGAATATCTTGTTAGATACAGTTAGATAGCATGCATGGCTTTTACATACATACAGTTTTTATACAGGTAGGTGGATTTTATGTGTGTATATGGTGTATATGTCTATGTAGAGAGGTATGTGTGTATAGGTATGCAGGTAGTTTCTACATATGTAAAAAAAAAGAAAAGAAAGAGAAAAGAAAAAGAAGAGTTCTAATATTACAATCAGGCTTGAGTTTTACACTGGGAATGTTTGGTAGCAGCACCCTTGAACAATGTTTGCAGTCTCTTAAAATCATAAGCTCTATTACATGGTTTTTCTCTGCAACAGCACGTGGAGGGTATTAGGATGGCAAAGGAACCGACTGGTTTTGGTTTAGACACCTGCAAATGTAGTTCCAAGAAAAACTCTGTAACTGAATAAAAAATGCAGTGCAGGATGTCATTATATTTTTCTAAAACTTCTCAAGCCCCTTCAATCAGATCCCAACTTTGTATCTTTATAGCAGAAAGTCAAAAAAATGTAATCACCCAGTATCTTTGGACTAGATGATCTTGCAGGTCGTTTCCAACCTTGTGATTCTGTGATTCTTTGGAATGAGAAAGCATTTTCTCGCTTTTCAAGCATGGAATCCAAAGTAGTAGGCATTGAATCTGAATTTCTGGATTCAGAGTTGTAAATTAGGATTTCAACAAAAGGGTCTTTTCTCTCTCTTGCACACACAAAGCATTTTCAGATTTACAGATATTTCTTCCCTTATGTTATCCATCTTATTGAAACTTTTTTTTTTTAACCAGAAGTGCTGCTCAGAAAGGTGGCCTTTCCTACGCCGTCTTTGCATTATCTCAGAAAAAGTGGAAACAATGCCTTTACTTAGGCTTCCTTTAGCATTCATCACCATAGGTGCCTTGTTGATTATAGCCATTTTTAACTTGGTAAGTAATTGCATTGTCTTTATTCTGTGACCATACTTTGAGCAGCGTTCTGTGTTCTTTTCATGAAGGGTTTAGCTCTTGCTTTTCTCCCGGTGTCCAATTCCCACCTGAGTTGACTTGCACGTGGATAATGTGCCATGCGAAATAAAACAATTCAAAGGAAAAAAATCCCACTAAAACTAAAATTCTGAGATCTCTTTTACATCACCTTTTCTTGTTTCCAAGATGGCATTTATAATTACCATAGATTATGACTATCATCACCAAGATGTCTTCTGGTTTTTAATGTAAGTTTAAGTGCCTGTATTGGGTAGAACACAGACATTGTCAGTCATTAATGCTAGACTAGATGCAAACAGAATCCATGTTTAACCTTAGTTGTGTATTGTATTCCACCTGGGCTACACACATCTGAAAAACCACTCTCTGGTGTTACCTTATGCTCAAGACCATGCCATTTTTTGTTGTTGTTGTTAACAAGCATTATGTACATCAAGTTAACAGTTAAACCTCTCTGGTAGCTAACTACTAAAAGTGACATATTTCCTATTCCACGTTCTCAGTTTATCAGTCTCCTGATTCTGTGGGGAGTTTGTACTGAAAGCTGTTCTGCAGCTTTTGTAGGGCTGTGTTTCTGCTGGCTCAGGTCCTTGAACTGACTCACAGCAGTGTCATGTGAACACCGCCAGACAGCCCAGAAGAGAACAGGAACAGCAGCTGTGTCCCACTCACCAGTCTTACTGTGCCAGTTAGCTGCTGGATTAGCTTAGCTGTAATGTGAAGCTTCACCTCCAAATAAATGAACAAAAGGTAAACACTTGGCCATTTTAACATTCTTGCATTTAAGGGGCATCATGAAACTTTAACACTTACATTGCAGTAGCGCTGAAAGGGCAAGCAGATAAGGATTCACTGTATGTGGAGAGAAGACATTTAAAATAAATTACTACCTGCCAACTGATTTCTATGGTTTTGTCTTTTTTTTTTTTTTTTTTTTTTTTGCTAATAAATGAGACTACTGAAAGGAACAGTGCTGCAAACTTTACTGGATCAAATGGCTTGAATGGCACTGCCAATGCGACCTATGTCTTCATTTCTCAGGTAAAAAGAAATAAGGCTTGGATGGTGTGTATAGTATAAATGGATGCAGTATTTTTATACACTTTCATGTTTTTATAAAAATAGAATTAAGTCACTGAACTCAAAGATTATTACTTCCGCAAGGCAATTCTTGAAGTGTTTTCTGTAATTAACTGTGACTCAACTCTGCATCTTCTAGGGATTTTCTGAAGGCTCCATCAGTAGTGCATTAACCCAAAGGCTTAGCTTGCTTTGGTTACTCTGCACTTTCGGAAGCTGTTCCCTAGCATTTGTGTCAGGGACAGTTAAATGCAGCACTCGGTAACTAAAGTATCATTTCTAGGGATTTAATATTTTTAGTTCTTTAACTTCAGAACACTCTATTTAGAGATCATTCAAGTCTGTGGGATGCTCCTTTGTCACCTGGCCCCTCCTTTACATGAAGAATGTGTTTTTGAGCCAGTGTGAGGACCCTTTGATTGATGCCTTAAGGACAGATAAGTTACACACATTTAATGCAGATTATACTCATCTAATTTTGTAATTTTCTGTTCTTGCATGTTTGTAAATCAGTCATTTGAAAACACAACTGAATACTTCGTTGAAGAAACTGTAAGTAGTAAATACTTTTTATTTTAAAGCCCAGGTCTTTGAATACTGTATTTATTTTTGAGGACTGTCAGGCTTTGTTGCTCTAAAAAACAGCTTTTCTAGGTGCTTAGCAGCAACAAAGTTCTTCATGAAACCAGGTGTTTCAGTTGCTGCTGCTGTAATGAAGGAAGTGTGGCTTTGCAATTTTTTTGGGTGGGGGGCATTTGAAAAAGAGAGATATGAGAATGTAGGATCAGCTTAAGGTTACAAAGGGAGCACTGTGAAAATAGGACGAGAAGTCTGGAGTTTCTGCCTTGGAGCCAGTTTGTTGACTTTAAAGCTGCTTTAAGTTATTCCTGAACTCATAATAAGTAATTCATAGTCTTCAGAAGATGCATTTTCAATACTCTTCAGTTTTAATCTGATGCTGCACATATTGGCATATGATGCTTTTTGTTTAAAGGTTTGTCTCCGACAAATTAAAAAAGTAGTAGCTAGGAGAAGTGTTACATTCTGCACTGTAGTTCAATTAAGAATAAAGGTTTAATTGTATTTGGTGATTATAGTTTCTTTTATTTAAATTTAGATGGTCATGAGCTTAGAGCATTTGCTATGTTTGAAAGCCTTATGCAGCATAAAGTCTGAATAATGCAACTGCATTTAAATTCTTCTTTTCCAGTATTATGCTTATTGCTGCATTTTGGGGTTCATTGCTTGCTCAGTATTCCTTCAAATGAGCTTCGAACTCAAAGTTCTCCTCCTGTCCATTGCTGTAACTGTATACCTCATCATTTTTAATACCCTTCCATATAGAAACACGAGTGTCTCTGTCAACGTTACCAGGTGTGGTAGAAAATTTCTTATTAACAATAATGTTCTATTAAAGGAGATGTTGATATAATAGCTATAACATTAAGATAGCAAAATTGCATCAGTCAGACATTATAAAGCTTTTTGTTAAGTTTAACCCCAGTGACACAGAAATACCCTGATCTAATTGAAGAAACTATAAAAAACACGTGGAGAACTTTTACTGTTCATTTGCAGGTCTCTTTCTCAAATTTTCAGCATATTCCCATACTTGATGATTAGAATAAATTGATTTTGCAGAGACCAACTGTGGGCTCTCTGTACAGTTTAAAAAAGCCTAAATGAGCTCTTAATTTAGCCTTGAATCCCAGACTAATCATATCATGAGAATTTAGTTTGATACATTGTTGAAAATTCAAAGTGTAACGAGGAACTGATTTTACTAAAAAATATAAATGCCTCTCGGATTTCCACAGAGTAATTTAATGGCTGACTTTTTAGTAATTCTGGTTCTTATTTGTTATCAGCTTCCTTTCTACAAATAAGAAGGTTTTGTTGTTGAATGTGAAGGCCTTGTTGGCTGTGTTTTCTGTAGGACAGTATGGGCAATACCTCATTGCAACAATTAATGAAGTTTCAGTACTGTTTTGTTGTTGTGTGAAGAGTTCATGTACCGCTGTGAGTGGGAATCTTTCTTCACTATCAGATAATGACACAACCAGACAGCTATTGGCAAAAATGACATTGCTGATCTATATGTGTGTATGCCTTCTGTTGCCCTCCCTACCCCCAGAGCAACTCTTAATCGTATGGGATTAATACAGAGGGTTTTGTATTGCTTTCCTGTTTACAGGCTTTTCATTGAAGAGCCAAGAGTAATGATTAATATATATCTGGTTCTGTTCTACATAACCCTAATGTTACTTGCAAAGCAGGTATGTACTGAAAAAGCAATAGGTTATTTGTCCTTTACTTGCAGCCAGTTAATTTAAATAAAATGTAAATGTATATGTGGGTATATATAGATATATATAAATTCTTCTCTTGTAGTTAACTGTAGATAATGCAAAAAAAAAAAAAATTACTGTTAAAAGGCAGGAACATTTTTACTCTTTTCAATAGCATTTATATTAGTCATAACTTTCTGAACTTCCTTCACTTTGGATCCGTCTATATTTATATGTAATTATCCTAAATCAAGGTAGCAATTAAAGGTAAAAACAATCACACAATTAAAAAAATATCTTTTTTTAATACACCTGATGCTACCTGAATGGCATTTATTCATAGTGACTGCCTCTTATTTTTCTACCTTCATTTTTGAAGCACACTGTTTGTAACTGTTTAGGTTCAGAAGGTTTTAAAGAAATGTTATTGCCTCCACACTGTCGGAATAATTGGACTCATGTATGTTTCAGCAAGTTGTTATATGTATTTATTTAATTTATCATGTTGTATTCTTGTGCAGATTGACTATTACTGTCGACTGGATTGTCTGTGGAAGAATAAGTTTAAAAAAGAACATGAGCAGTTTGAAACAATGGAGAATGTCAACAGGCTGTTACTGGAAAATGTACTTCCAGCACACGTCGCTGCCTATTTCATTGGTGAAAAGCGAAATGAGGTAGGTTTTCTCTCTACAAATGACAGTAAATTGGATGTCTTTGGCACAGAACATCAGGCTAACAAGCACACAGAAAACTACAAGGTTCTGCATTATTTTCCATCTTGCTTGTGTCCCTTTGTAATTTAATCTGCTATCCAGGAGAGCTCAAAAAATGCAAATTTTAGTGTCAGTCCCTGAAATCTGTTTTCAGAATTGGTCACCTAGCTTTGGGACACAGTTTGAGTTTGCCAAATAACGCTGATTTACTGCTTTCTAAAGACCATATTTTACTGGAGAAAACAGGATTTCTTTCTAACCAAGTTAGTCCAGCAACAACTAGTATCTCTGTGCTAACAAACCCTGTGAGAAAAGTTGATCATTAATGATTTTTCAAAGACATCCTTCTGATTTTGCCAGCATGTTATCAGAATAAATATTGCTGATTTTATAGCCATGCTGAGTGGGAGAAAACAGGCATGGTCTAGAACAGATTAGAATTGGAGATAAGTAGATTGTAGGCAAATCAACTTTGTTAACTTTTCTCTTGAAATTGGACACACCCATTGTAAAGTACTGCAGCTTATAGGAAAACTGTAATTTGATTTACCCACTGCAAACAATAACCGTGGTTGTGAATACCTGTGGTGGAGATCAACTGCTGACAGTCTGTGATTATATTCTTCTCCTGTAGGACTGGTACCATCAATCTTATGACTGTGTCTGTGTCATGTTTGCATCAGTGCCAGATTTTAAGGTGTTTTATACTGAGTGTGATGTCAATAAAGAAGGTCTGGAATGCTTGCGACTGTTGAATGAAATCATTGCTGATTTTGATGAGGTAATTAAGGTTTTGGCTAAAGGGGGCTGGATTACATACTTACTGTAAAAAGCTTCGCTGGATTTGTGAGCAGCAGAGGGAGAAATAACACCTTTAGTCTGAACTAATACTTTGAGTTCAGCCTTGCAATCTTGGAAATAAAATTTATTCCATCTGATGGGATCATGGGATCACCTAATTCATTAATAATATGGCTTGAAAGTTGTGAATTTCACTACTTTTATTATATGAACTCTTAGAGCAAGACAGCGAATTGAATACTCAGTGCTTTCTTACATCTAATGCTCGTGTGGTGATAGTGTTCCTGGAGATGTTCATTGCAGACTGAAATAGGCTATTAAAGTCTCTATTTTCTTTACCTTAACAGCTCTTGTTAAAACCTAAATTCAGTGGTGTTGAAAAAATAAAAACAATTGGAAGCACTTACATGGCAGCAGCTGGCCTCAGTGTCACACCGGGCCAAGAGAACAACCAGGTGAGTTTTCTCTGAAATCAACCTGCAGTGTTCTGTGTTTTATGAGGCTACCATGCCTGCATGTGCATTTCAAAGCAACAGAAGAAAATGTCACGGAAAAAGGAAATTATCAAGAGTGACCTTCTGAAACGTGGGAAAAGGTCACGAAAGCATATTGTCTCACATTTACGATTTTCGAAGCGAGCATTAAGAATGTAACCCCACTATATTTCTTACATATTTTCTCTCTGATTACTGTAGTTTAACATTTCTAGAGGCATAACAGTAGCTCTAATGATAAGGAAGTAAAAGAATTGCTGCCAGAGAAATAGCCATCTCAGAATGTCACAGGAAGCTTTTTATGATACCTGAGAACCTGTACAAAACGAGACTCTTCTAGTGCTGCGTTAGATCTGAATCTGAAACATTCTACAACAAGAATTAAGAGCAGTTTTTTCTGTATGCAGGCTCACTTTCACCATAGTGGGATTACACAGGACATTAGGATGCAGGTAGCTGTTATGTGCATATAAAGCATGTACATTAAATGTGGAATTCAAAAGGAGATAGGTAAATTGATTATAACTAGCCATGCCAGTTGAATTGAATCAATTTTGAATACCTGTTGAACTATGCCCTTTTATTCCGTGGCCCTATCCTTACGCACTTTATACACTAATGGTACTGTTTTGGAATAGTAGCCTAAATCCAACCTTCTGTGTTGTTATTTGATCATTAACACATGTCACAAACTGTGTAGGATAAGGAGAGACAACATGCACACATTGGGATTATGGTGGAATATGGAATTGCCTTGATGAGTAAACTGGATGGCATCAACCGACATTCCTTCAACAACTTCCGATTACGTATTGGTAAGTTGTCAAGAGCACCAACTTTTCATCTTCATAAAAATTAAAAATGAAGTATTTAGGCAAATGGAGCGTTCCATAACACTACATACTTAACTCTGAGTGCAGTATTTAGGTGCTTATAAAATGCTGCACAGTTGCAAGTAGTGTTGTCTAGTCTAGCTTTTTTAATATGCCAAGCTAATGAAGGAGTGCCTTTTTCTAATCACTGGAAGGAGCAACAGGAGGACTTCAGCTTGGATCGGTTTGGAGAAAACTACAGATGCAGGTGAAGAGGGAGATAGCCTGTAATTAAATAAAGTCAGTGTTAGCATTATGCAAGTGTTTTTTTCTATATATTAAAACGAGAAGTTTTGCTTTGGCGTGAGCTCTACCCTAGCCCTTGGACTTTCCATTATACAGTAAGTAATTTCACATCTCCCAAGCCCAAGTACCACTCAGTGCTACGTCAGTGGTAATACTGCTAGACAGTCAGTGTGGTGCAGTTTTCTGTTATTGTCTTTCCTTTAGACTGACAATTTATATCTAATAATGAAGGTAGATATCAAGTAATTTTCTGCTTCAGTAAAGATATCTGCTTTTATTTATAAAGGGATAAATCATGGTCCTGTGATTGCTGGTGTAATTGGTGCCCGGAAGCCTCAGTATGATATCTGGGGTAACACCGTTAATGTTGCCAGCAGGATGGAGAGTACAGGGGAGCTTGGAAAAATCCAGGTAAATAAATGTACAAGCTTTGGAAATTCTAAGAAATTATTTCTAATTGGTTATGGATTTTTTTTTTCTTCTTTGAATAATCTGTACTATTTCAAAGAGTTTTCTAATTCTTTTCACATAAAAGGTCACAGAAGAAACGAGTAGAATACTACAGGACCTGGGATATTCGTGTGAATGTAGGGGACTCATTAACGTCAAAGGAAAGGGAGAACTGAGGACTTACTTTGTTTGCACCGAGACAGCCAAATTCCAAGGTATTGGACTGAACTGAGGCTAAGACAAAGTTAATGCAAGTAGGCTTTGAACTGCCTCCCTTCTGTGAAGACTTAGAACTTCCCTCCTTATGTGAAGGAGACTATTCTAAAAATACACAGATAGTATTCATAGTTCTTCTGCATCGAAAGATAGGAGAATGTGTGTGTTTTTGGTGTTTATTTTTTTCAGTTTTTTTTAATCTTCGAAAGAAGCTCTGAAAAGTTCCTAGCAAACCACCAGTCTGAGAAAGACTGCCTTTTCCTGAAAGGATTTCAGGATTTACCTGGAATTGCCGTGAAGCATTCTCTGTTGGTTCCTTTCTTTACTTGCACTGTGAGAGTCTAATAGCTCCAGTAACAAACTATGTGGATGCACTGCTGAGCTCCTTTCCTGTTAAAATATTCCACTGCTTCATTTTTTGTCACATAGCACACAGTATTGCATTTGTCACAGACGTATTGAAATGATTCTCCAGGCGCCGCACATCCTGCTATTAATGCTCAACAAACTTCATGGCAGAAGACAGCAGAATAATGGAAAGAGAAATACAAGTAAGCTCCGAGCTGAGCGCCTTTGAGGTGGAAAAAAAAAAGTAATTGCACAGATTTGGATGACTTCTTCATTATCTTCTCCTCCTCCACTGCAGTATCATGTATTATGCAAGTGTTTTCCTAACCAGCAGCTGTCCAGAAATCTTTCATCTAGTTCGGGGTGTTTACATTATATATGTTGCCCCTTGTGTTTATGCGCCTCTGTATTTAACACCTGCATGCATGTATTTTACAGTCATACAGGAGAATGGTCTTTAAAAATCTGGCTTGAAATTTCAAAAAAATATACCTAGTGCAGTTTCTGCTGAATGCTTGGTTAGACAGACTCTGTTACCAGCTTCTAGCACTGACGTCCAGCTGGAATTCTGCATACTGACTGCATTCTTGAATGTTTTTGTAGAAGAAAATAATCTGTTTTGAATTATTTGGAAACTGAAAAACAGATCTAATGAAATAGTATTAGAAACAGTAGCAGATACTCTATAAACAGAGCTGCAGCTGAGATGAGTTTGCCTTTTTTAATTTTTTTCTATTTTGTTTCTTCAACTTGATTGGCTTCTTGCTGATTTACATTCCTTTTAAAGGCAGTGCAGTTTATGAAACAATTTGGTTTTGAAGATTACAGCAGGATATGTGGAAAAACATGTTCATAATGGAAATGCTTGAGCAGAGCCTCAATGCTGAAAAGTAGGCCTAGTGCATTGGTAAGGTGATCACAGAAACTGGCTTGCTGTAAGTTGGTTTGTAAAGTTTTTAAGGTGTTAATAGTTCAAGCAAAAATCTAAATTAGCCTTTACCTGCTTACAGTCAATCTATTTTCTGCTGGTGGAGATGACCTTTTTTTCTAATGATGAGGTCTTCTGGCTAAATATATGTATTAACTAAGGATGCGTTCTCCCCTTATCCCTTAGAACCCCATGGAGTTTGACTAAACAGCACAGTGATTAATAAATGCAACATCTGCTTTGTTAAGCCTTACTCTTTTACAAACAAAGCAGCATCTACTAATTTGAGGGGTTCATACCAAATTATACTGGAAAAGATTTTAACAAGCAGTCATACATTACTGCCACTTTCTAATTACTGTGTAATTTCTTTAGGAAATGGAGTGACTGTTTCAAGGCAGAAACAAATCTAAATACTGTGGATTTTAAAAACTGTACTTACAGTCTGTCACATTGGTAGGTCAAAACTATGTTTGTAGTAATTCTCCAACAGGAAACAGCAGGCTAGAAAACCTTAGTTTGAGGTTGTCAGGCTCATGTATGGACTCTGCTGAGGATGGAAACTTCATACTCGGTGTCTTCTCAGTATCAGGTCAGTGTTGTAATAGAATAAACTCTCAAAGAGCTTTTGCTACTCTTGTACGATGTGTGTTTGTAATACCAGATGCTCTACAAGGCATTTGTTTTGAGATATTTATTTATTGTGTTATGAGGACCATGCATGTGTGAAAGACTCAGCAGTCTTTCATGTCGTATGGTAGTTAGGTGAAGTGGCTATTTGCCTTGTTAATATATTTTGAAAAATGCATCATGCCTATAGCTAGAGCTGGCTCTAAAGTTCACAGCACTAGTAGAATTTAGATGTAAGTCATCTATGGAAAAATACTGGCTGTCACTAACAGCATTTTGAAATGCTTTTGTTTACACTGTATTGCCTGTCAGGCTAGTGACTTGCTTGGGCATACCTTAACCTATAGAAACCTGTTGCTTTTGAACTGGAACTAGTAAGTTTTTTTTCTTTTGTTTAAAAGGACATTGTGTCCTGCTCACTGAATTTTAGTTTGGGTAACAGATTTATGTAAAGAAACAGGGGTTCATAGCTGAAGATGACTAACTTCTATAGTATGCAAATCCATTCCTAACAAGAAATTGTATACTATACTAGGAAAACTACTCAACTACAAAAAAGTTCAATTTAAGAGACAACTGTTCATTGATCTTAAGAGAACTGTGAACTTAAAACTGAGAAAGTGATCTTATTAGAAAATCTTCACAGCGTTATTGTTTTTTGAACTATGAAAATGACACTGTATCTAATCTGAAGAGCTCATAATGTTTTGAATTAACAATCTATTTTAAAGAACAAACTTTTGTTTTTATTATTAAATAAACAACTTCCTGAAACTTGTTTGTTTTTGCAGTTATTATGAAGGGAAGCAAATGGATGAGCCCAGGCTCTTCTCAGTTCTGTGTAGTGATAGGACAAGGAGCAGTGGCCTAGAACTTGAAGATAGGAAGTCCCATAAAGAGATGTGGAAGAACTTCTTTACGGTAAGGGTAGTGGAGCACTGGAACAGGCTGCCCAGAGAGGTGGTGGAGTCTCCTTCTCTGGAGATACTCAGGACCTGGCTGCTTGCCTCCTTGTGCGACCTGCTGTAGGGAGCCTGCTTTAGCAGGGGGTTGGACTCTATGCTCCCTTGAGGTTGCTCCCAACCCCTGCAATTCTGTGATACCCATGAACAGGAGCTGTATTTCTTATACCCCCTATAGAATTAGTAAACTTTTTTTAGTTGCAAAGTGAATTTCATACATATATTTAAGAGAATTCACACAAGTGAATTCTCACACATACATACTGAGAGACTTGCATTCAACAGCTGAAGTATAATTTCAGTGCTGTTTTCTGCCACCTGTGGCCTCCTACTGCATTATCTGATAGGTATGTGAGGTAGGTGATGGGAAATTAGATCCTAAAAACTGAGCCAACAATGATTTGGCTGGAACTGTTGCTTTACATCTTGTCTTCTCTTGTAGCACGAAAATAAGTTTAAATATAAATATTAATGGAAAACTCACTCCCTTGAGAACATCATGGTAATCAGCTACAATTAGCCACTGCTGTGGAAGAAAACCCCAGTGATTATTTTATTAGTAAACTAAAAACAGTCTGCGACACCTGAAATTACTGGGGAAGTATTCAGGGTGACAGTTCAACCTTTTTAGGAATGAATTTTAAGAATTGTGTAACTTTAAAAAAAAACAAACAAACAAGAAAGCAGACAAGCACCTCTGCAGCTCCTTTTTATAGTGGAGGAAGAAGAGGAAAGGAATTATGAAGATTATGTTGGACATAAGGCTGGAGATTAAGTGGAATTTGTTATTCTGCTTTACCTTTAAGTTAGCTCTTCATTTCAGCTTCATGCCACTTCACATGTTATAAACTGTTCATCAGATGGAGATGAACTACTGCGTATCACTGCTGTAAAGTCTAAAGTAACACGGAATCTTAACGTGAGTAAATGTTGTAGGGTAACAACAATCAAAAATACCCAACATTGCCTGTTGCAGAATTATTTTGAAAAGGGAGTCTTTCACATTCAGACACTAATTATTGTCTCAGTCAGATTCAGCTACACAGTGTATGTATCACATTTGGAAATTTGTGGCTGAGTCTTTGCACGCTATACAGGCTCGTTTTCACATACGCTCTGACTTTTCCAGACACACAATAATGGAAAGAGAATTTAAATGCAGCAGAAGTCCTATAAATAATAAAGAATGGCAAATGAATAGTAAGTGCATTTTTGAAGCAGAAGAAATTCTAATACAAACAACTCAATTTCAAAAATCATCAGTTCCAAAATTTAATAAACAAAAGTAGTTTCTTTAACACACAATATACACATGCCCAGTGAATGCACCAGTGGACGTTTATCTGGTTCTTAAATAGAATCAAACAAACACCTGTAAACTTAACTGACACTTCAGACTGTAACTGGACCACATTCGTTTTCAGTGATGGTGACAGTCTTTTTGGGTTCTTGAAACTCTGAAAGTTCACAACAGACACCAGGTCAGTTAGCACATTTACCACTTTTCAGTGACAGAAGAGCACAGACAGCACAGTACTTCTCAGACACTCGCTATTTGTGTAGACAGTCCTGAGTTAACAGTGTGTGTTCTGTTTGTCCACGAGTCTTTTTTCAGTTGTGTTTGTTATGTGGCCTCTCTTGCAGTACACTGCTATGAAAACTACATTGCTCAGTAATTGTAAAGATTTCTCAGTTTCATTGAAGCAATCTGGTTCTTACTAAATAACTTAACTAAAACCTTTTATAAGCCACACCTTGGGTAAATTCATTGTGTGAGTTATCTTTCTTGAAACAGAATTCTTACCTGCCTTATAAACTGAGTGCAAACAAATTCTAGGTGTGTTTTCATAGTTTACATGACCTATTAAGCCACTGCCACAAGGGGGAGATCTGATTCTGGCACTCATTTTCCACTGCCCAGACTCCTAATCCAGCACAATCAGTGGTTCTTGCTAGATAAACGAAGCTGATGCTGTCAACTAGAAAAGCACTACAGCTGGCCAAAGTAAGCAAAAAGGGAGCAAGATGTCCTCATTTCAGCAAGTGAGTAATTTTAACTCTTCTCTTGTAACTTCACTCTAAATGCAAAAACTAGAATTTAATGGAGTGCCAAGCTTTAAAATTTGGCAAATATATAAAATAACTATTCTGAGTAGTTGAACCAAAGTTCCACATATCCAAAAGATTAATTTTGAACTGAGATTTTTAAAAGTGGAGAATAACTAAGTTGTACCACAAGCCATTCTAATGATTTGCAGATTGTGGTTTTGTTTTAGATGCTACCCAACAGTTTTGGATACTCACCATCTGTCAAATCTACCCCACTATCTTCTGTATCAGGTAAAGGAATTGAAATTCCCATTGCTTTCCGGATTCCATACGTACTAACAATGTCACCTGGAGTCACTTGTTGTGCCAGTTCCTTCAGATTATTGGTTACTCTCTCCGCTAAAAAAGGAGAAGTGGATGTACTTGTAAGCTGCATATACAAACACACACAAAACTGCTGACACGAGTCTTTCATCTTATAACCAGTGTTTAAATACACAAATGCAATTGGACCAACACTGAAGCATTTTATCTTTTCTCAGTGAGCTGGCTCCTTCAGATCATGTACACTGCAGTTGACACTGCACAATTTAGTTTTACTTGCAGAACTGACACCCTCTCTGCATAGTCCTAACATGGAAGGCTTCCGTTACCTGTATAACAAACCAATGAGGCAGGGAGCTTTGCTCAGATAATTAAATTAATGATTGCTGTGAATTGCCATAATAAAAATAGACCAAACCTGGAATAAAACTATCCTTACAATAAAAACTTGGTAAAATGTACAAAACATCTGTTCAGAGACACTGGAAAAATCGTGAAGTTAGAGGTGCTTGGCTATCATCTGCCCCATGGCACTGAAATAAACTTTAAGATAGCTCAGTTACCTTGTACTTATTGTTTAAAACCTTCATTTGGCTTTCCATACAAAAAATGAAATATAAATTCACATACTACATCAAACTGGACACAGATTCCACTCTGTTACACCTCTGCTTTAATATAAGTCAGGACTTCATCAATTATGCAAGATTGAGCAGAAGAAGCATTATCTTACCCAAGTGCATCTCTCTGTAAGACGGACCCAGAAGACAAATCATATTAGGGGGTGGTTTTGTACTTAGTCGTTCATTTTGAGCATCCTGAAGTTCTCTCAGAAGCTTTGTTGTTTCATCAAGTTTCCTCTGGAAGATTTCAGCCTCTGTTTATAGAAGAAGAGTCCCTGACTAAGTAAAGAGGGTACCTTTACTTTATGATATAAAATGTACTAAGGCTGACTGTGCAGAGAGATTGAGAACATCAACTACCTTTCATCAGAAGTTAAAGACACGTATCAAAATTGCAAGTACTGTGCTAACTTACCCTCAGAATCAAACTCTTCCATAGGCATGCCAAAGTTTGTAACAGCTTTTAGGGCTGTTAGTCTGTCATTATTAGCAGAATCCAATCTTGCAGCGATATCAATTTCCATAATCTAAAAAGAGCAAGTAATAATTCAGATAGATAATATTTAAATCAACCTCAAAACAGCAAAGTTGTTTTGGGTAAATCAGAATGCTAAGTTAATTAAAATTAGTCTGCTCCAAAAAAAAAAAAAAAAAGCAGTCCTGATACCCTATGAAACATATGAAACATTCATTGCTCTCTAGCTACTCAGCCCATTATTATGTTTCATAGACAGGAAGGAATTGGCACCTGCCAAATACAGTGGGGCTGCACAAACGTTGTGGTAAACTAACAGCAGCAAAAACAATTGGACTATAAACATGAGCTCACCTAAGACTGAGTTGATGAACAATCTGACAATAAAAGTTAAAACCAATGGGGAACTGACAGGAGATGAAGGCTTCAGCTCTTTCCCTGTACTACTGCACTTTCTCTCTGAACAAAATTTGTTGGGTGAAATGATTGTAATGCTACACTGCATGCCTACAGGGACACAAGCTCCTTAAGAAACTATCCCAAAGGGAGCTGTGTATCACTGTCTTTCACACTTATTACAACCTTATGTTAAATCAGGTTTTTAGAGGGAATGGTAAAACTACAGCTTCCACCCAGATCAAGTGTGTGGTCAAGCAATCACAAATATATATGCCTTTTTTTCTAGTTTTCTTGACAAAGTCAAATTTACGTAAGACTGACTTTTGGAATATTCTTGTGCTCCAGATGCCCCCTGATTCAGCAGAGGTTCATTAGTTAGGATAGTATGGCTAGGTTGTGGTTAGACTCAATGATCTTTAAGGTCGTTTCCAGCCTGAGCAATTCTATGACTCCATGCATTTGTCAGAAGTGACACAGAGCACATTTACATGCGAAGTTTCAGCACTGCTTTGCAAGCTGCAGGGGTTCTGGCTGTTGGGATAAGTGAGGTGTTAGACACACGTTTCTTGGAGCAGCTTACAGATACAAAAATTTTACCCTTACCTCTTTTAATGCATCACTTCTTTCATGGGGCCCTTCATCTTCCTCTAGGGGCTGAATACAGAAAGGATTTTTAAAGCAGGCATTAAAACTAATCTTTTCCTTAAGGTCAAAGTGAACCTTACAATGTGGTGGTTTTAATCTGAGGTAAATGATGCAAGCTCTGTAAAACCAAGTTACAAAGCAGCTGTTTTTAAACAGCTTTTTTCAGATATCAATATTTACCAAAATACATTAAAGTACACATTTTACTACTCTTTGCAAATATCTACATGTCTTTCCCCAGTGATATCACCTCAAGGGGGAAAAAGGGAAAAAAAAGCAGCATGACAATCAGGCTGAAATATATTGTTTCAACACATAACTGCATTTCTCTTAATATTTGCAACAACAGTGGTCGAACCCTGTAAGCCAATGGCACAACTGAGTACAACAGAAGTGATAAACTTGTAATGTAAAGCAAAGGTCTGAACTGGGGGCTGGGGCTCTGATCTTTGCTCTGTGAGCTGTTCCCAGAATTAGTTTCACTTACGTACAAATCATTACTAAAAACCTATTATTTGTTTATTACCGGAATGTCCACTCAAGTCAGAGTAAGCTAAAGCAGTAGTTAGGGGTAACTACTTTCTGGAGAGACACAACTGATCAATGATATACGAATTCGGTCCCATATCTTGCTCATCAAATCAGTCCCTTTGATTCCAGTCTCGTTTGGCACACGTGGATACTGAAGTCTCACAAGTTTTTTACTATTCTTCCATAGCACATATTTGAGTTTAAAAGCACTGCACTAACTAATGGGAAAAATTAGTTAATATTCTCTTAAAATAAGCAGTGGTGCTAGCAAACTTCTCATGGAAACAAACAAACAAAGAACGGTGATCACCTTGTCTCTAAGCTGAGCACTGCTGTTTTCTTACTAACTGTAATAGGCACAAATAGAACAGCTGGACAAAGGCTATGAGACTCTGACTCCATGTACAATATTTGATTTTCACATTTCTCTAATTAACAAACTATCATAATATCTTTCTAGAAAACCTATTTGCTGGAGACAGGTGTCTTCACTTTCAAATTTCACCATTAAAAAGGGAGCCCCTCGCTAGGATCAGTGTCATCATTTTCTAGCTGTGTAGCTTGTGCACCAGGAGTAACAACTAGAAAACTCACAAGTTCCCCCTTACCGTTTCTAGTTCTCTGAGAGATCTTGAATGTCCTCCTTTAGTTAGAACATCAAGCAAGCTATCAGCCATTAAGAAAGGATAATCTTGCGACTTCATCAAAAATTCATGAATACTAGAAGATCAAAAGATAGTTAAGACAACTACTTCTGTATTCTGTATTCAAGAGAAAAAAGTTTTGTTAGGTAAAGGGTAACCAATGCCTACAGCATGGGAAACACAAAAAGTAGCAAAGAATTTAATTTAACTGGCTTGCCTTTTTTTTGTATTGCCTAGAGCTGTTGTAGCCTAGGAAAACATTCAGATTCAAGAAGTGAAAAACAAAAATCTGCATCTTCAGGCAACTGCATTAAACTGAAAGCAAACTTCTACAGTATAGCAGAAGTTCTAAGTCACTACCTGAAGCAGTGATTGAGCACCTGTTGGGAAGCAGGGCCAACCCAGGAGCTCAGGTGCATGCAATGTTCCTGTGTGACTGGAAGGGGTGAAGCCAGGATCCACCCCTTCCTAGACCTCATTTAAGTGTTGGCAGTGGAGGTGAGGGCATCTCTCTGTATACCTGAGGCCTTCTGAAGGTAAGCAGATTCTTTTCTTTGTTTCTGTGCCCACAGCTGCTGTATTTGAGCAAGTCCTCACTTAGTACAGCCTAGGACTTTGCTACCCTGCTGTCACTGCTGTGCTTTCCATTGCATTACACGCAGACACTTAACATTAGGGATTAGACGTTTCTTAACAAAAAAGCAGTAGCTGTAAGACATGGGACACAGTGACATCATTCAGCAGCACAGGCACAGTCCATACTGCAGCAAGTTGCATGTTGTTTCCATACATGACCACTGTAATGCATGCTCTAGCTGTCTGATTACCTGAATGATCCCTGATTAGAGTCCTCCCCATAGGTTGAATAGATTAAGTCAGAATCTTCTTTGCTGATGTTGGCAAATGTAGAATCATATGTCGGAGCATACGAACTGTAGGGTCCGTAGTTCAAGTATGTCACTAATGAATAACAACAGTACTAATTATTACCTCTGGTATGCACATATTAGGTAAACGTGAGATGAGGTTGTCAAATAATCCCCCAGAAGAAACTAAGAATGTTATTTCTTAAAAAGAAAACAAATATTCATAGAATACCATCTTTCCACCCTGCAAAAATTTTTAATAATGCATATTTTAAGTGCATATTTATTTATAATGTTCTATTAACAGTATTGTATGCCTTAACCCAATATGAAAATTCAGTCTGGGCATAACCAGTTCTCAGGTTTCCCACTATGCTCCTTCGAAGCCAGCAGAAACCCCTGCATCTCTCTGGTATTGTTTCTCTTCTCATTCTAGATCAATCTTCTATTGAATATGCTTCCCCTTTTGTATGTGTAAATTAAGCTAGATTTTGTGATGTGCTCTTCAGATGTGTCATAAACACATGCAAACTGAATACTAGTAATGAGATCAACATATTTTGTTTATATAACAAGGAGGATTTATAGTGTTTCAAAAATAAATCAATCAATCAGCACTTGCCTGGAGTAACCTTGTTTCTTTTATCTTCTTTGAACCCTTGTAATGTATTAACTCCTGACTGAAGTCTTCCTGCTGTCATACCCAGCTTTACAGGGCAGTAACCTGGTTCTGCAATAGCATACAATCAAAATACAAGACTAATAAGGCACTGTTAAGTGACACAAGAAGACGTCCAAGCTTATTTAATATTTGCATCCTGTTTAGTCTGAAATTTCTGGCTATAACTCAGAGCATTGTTCTTCAATTGCTTCATATTAAAGACTACATGTAGTTTTAAATATGAATTCAAACCCACGATAATGCACTGGTTAAGTAACATAACACTGTTTATGTTTTCTTCCTTCCTGCCTCCCCTAACAAAAGCTGCACTGTCTTGCTGAGGTTTCCTACTGTATAAATAAGAGGAATTGAGAGGTTTTCAGAATAGTTTCTGTCTCATGTAGACAGTCAGCTCAATTCTGCAGTAAGGTGACAGTTAAATGATTGAGCACCTGCATTCTAGCTAGTGACACCACAAAGATGGCAGTGATGAGACAAAATCATTTGGAACTCGGACAATTCCCAGTTCTGGGAGTCTGTGATCCTCTGGGTCAACAGACTGCACTCTGTACTTGATCCTGACTTATAGAGAGTCCAGGAATTAAGTGTACCCTAACATGGCTGGTAGTTCCTTCTCTCATGGCAAAAGCTCTGTTGCATCTCCCACAAACAACTCATGCAAAATGGAAGAGGATTGGCCACTGATGGTTCCCTCTTGCTGCTCCTCAATGCAGCCCCAATTGCCTCCACCAGCTGCAGCTTTTTAAATTCAGATTATCAGACTATTAAGAACTACAGGCATTTGCCCATCTACACCAGCAGGAAAAAAAGCTGCAGAACTCTTTGGTTACCTGAACTGTGCAAACCTACCTCCTGCAGTAAGATCAACTGGGTTAAGAAGACCCAGAGTTGTTGTGCCATCTGGCTTTCTTCTTTCAAACGCACACTGAAATAAAATTACAATTTATGTCACCTGACAAAATTCACAGTCCTTAAATTCATAGAAACAGCTAATGAAAGTTGTCTTATCCATAGAAATTAAAATGGATTTGGAAAGATCAGTCAGACTTAGAAGTGAATACTGCTTTTTCTTCTTTTTTTTTTTTTTTGGTAAAAAAGCCTTTCACTGGATAACAGTTACTGATCCAGGCACAAGGGATAAAGAAGTTACAATAAATAATAACATTTCTATAGAAGATAATTAATAAGATATGTAACTCATACTTGGTAGAAACGGGCCCAGTGTTACCAAACTGGATTCCTTCTCCTTTGCTCAGATATGTGGCTGCTTCAAACACAGGACTTTTTTTCTTGAAATCCCTAGCATTCATCCTCCTCTATTACTTTATCTAAGAATTCTGAAAATGTAAGATGAACTTGCTCTGCTGATGACATTCAGCATGCATTCGACTGACACTCTTCCTGCCTCCTGCCTTTACACTGACACTACCAGTCGTGTGTAAAATGATATAAACTGCAGTAAGAGCATGCCTTGAGATTCAGTGATGCTACCTAAGCCCAGTTCAGGAAAAAGTGATTTACCTGGCTGTTTGCAAGTCGTCTTGTTAACTTTCCTCCAGATTCTCTAACAATACGATCAATCTGCTCTTGTTCCCTTTCCAAGCTATTGATTCTTAATTTGTCTTCAAGTAGATCTTTGTCCTTCCTATGAATAAAACCAATATATCTTAGTTAATAGCTGTAACAGACACAAATGGCTAAGTATCAAGAACAGGGCAGTGGATAATTTCTTTTTGCAAACTGCTTTTGTAGACAGCTTCCCCCCAATTAAAAAAAAAGATGCATTTAATAGGACTATTTAATAAAGAAGGAAAAAATGGGACAGAGTCTTAAACCCATGAATGCATTTTTTTTATGATAGTTATTGTAAAAGTATCTGTTTAGCTTAGTTCAACCATACAATTTGGCATGTCAAAATTTATATCATTGCTCTGACAAAACAAACAAGGATGTTTTTGGTAAAAATTAAATGTTTCATACTCTGTATTTTAGTACTTATACTTTCAAAACTAGGAAAACGAAGTCCCTAGTTTTTCTGAACATTAGAAAGGAATGTTTCTAGGCATTAAAATTTAATTAGAAAGTAAATATTCCGTAGCTACACATTTGTAAGTATTATGCAAAAAAATAGTAATTGGAACTTGAAATTGGCTGAAGAGTTATTTGTGAGGAGATACTTAAAAGATCATGTTTGCAAGTTTTCTTCAAAACAGTACTATTTACATGAAACAGACACTAAAACTAACAATAACTGGTAATAATAACAGAAAATAACTGAAATAGTTGTTGAGCAGTAAAAGATTATCCCCATGAAACATGATGATATCATATAAAAGACTTCCAAACATACTTTTTTTGGTATTTTGACTTTACATAAATGTTATTCCCTTGAGATGAAGGACTGTTAGAGTGTACCCAGTACCAAAGAAAACCACACCTCCAAGTCCCCAGTAAGTCAGCTTATTTCAGTGGCATTAAAGGGGTGCATCTTCTAAACATGAATGAGACAATACTTCACTTTTTGTGTTCCTTGTTGGGTGTTTTGAAAGCTTTGGTATCGCCATCCACAGGTTCTCCTTTGTCTTTTCCAGAACCACTTTCATCTCCACTTAGCTGCAGTTCTACCTTGTCCTTCTGTTTCCTCGTCTTCTGCAGATCAGCCATGAATTCTATACTTTGTTTCAGGCTCTGAATCCTCTCCTAAAAAACACAATAGAATCCTTCTGTTTCCTGCTTACATTAATCTTTTCGTAACTTAACCACAAAGAACAATTTAACTTTAGTTCTTTCTTACGCTTGCAAGTATAAAGGCAATTTAGAAAAATCAAATATTAAATGCAAATACATTATCTGGTAATATCTCCTCCTCTGGAGATATTCAAGACCCATCTTGATGCCTACCTGTGCAGCATGCTGCAGGGAGCCTGCTTTAGGGGGGTTGGACTCAGTGATCCCTTCCAAACCCTACAATTCTGTGATACAACTCTGTCAAAGCAGCTTTTTTCTTTTTTCTTCAATATTTTGTTTTGTAATCATTTATTACCTGGCTAAGTATCTTCATCCCTGAGTGCAGCAGTTTTTTTGCAGCTTTGTAGTAAATGGTGTCTGGTTTGTTGTATGTCATTGCATTAGTACACATCAATTTGAAGTTATCCTGTACAAACGATTTTGGAATGAAAGTTAAAGTTTTACAGTATGCTGTATTATAATCCTTGTTGCAAATGGTGCATCTAGAGCTTTAGCGAAAAAGAACTTCAAAGAAAAACCAGTGACCTTATGATGTCTAATAATAGGCCAGTTTCCTTGCCTATATCCCTTTACTGCATAAAAATGCACAAGAACATATAAGCATCTTCAGTCACTGTTTTACAAAGTAGTAGTTGAAAGCATGACCCCAATTCCCCCCCCCAACCACTGCACACACAGTACTTTCAGGGCCTTTGATCCACCAGACACTACAGCACAGGGTTAAGTGCCTGCTGTGAACAGGACTGAGCTAGTCTGGCCTTTGCTACTTGTGGTTCTACATCCCTAGATAAGCTGAGCAGCTAGCACTGAGGTGACAGGATGCCAATGATGAAGTAACTGACAGGCAAATTAACCCAACTCCTTGTTTTTCGGGGAGGTCTGCTACAAATGCTAACGTTTTCATTCAAGTAAAGATCTGAACTGACACACTGACGGACAAGCAGATATACATCCTGCATAAGAAATGAAGACATCTGTGTCATCTTGAAATACATATTTACAAACCAGAGGTATGCTTCCTCTTCTCTTCCACAGCTTAGCTGCTCACAAATAAGTCAGTAAGAAACATTTCCTCAGGCACAAGTACTGGTTCTTTTTGGCAACTTCATATTATCCTAAAATTGTAGAGCTCAAGTACACTGCACACAATCCATCTCTGTAGTCACAGAGAAATTCATAGAATTACCTTTAATTCTTCTATGGACTGGTACCCATTGTTCTTGATCTTCTCTTTCATAGTACTAAAATCCATTGGATTTTTAATGATCATGGAGTAGCCAGGGGCAATAAAATCAGTCACAGGAAATGAAAAGAAAGAACTTGGATCCTTTCTGTTAAGATATGAAAGGACATTTTTATGTTTCAACTTTATAACAAAAAACATATTGAGCTCAGAGTTAAATAGAAAGGAACAGACTAAGTTGAAAAAGAATCAAAAACATGAAGCCAGAAATGGCTTTTGTCAGCAGTCTTTCACTTCTGAAGGCTGAAAAGCAAACCCTGATACCAGAAAAGTGCTACAAAAATATCATAGAAGTTAGTTCTACATTTTGGTAACTATCCCCAAGAAGATTAAAAAGAAAAATACAAATAACATGCTTTTGAGGTTTTTCTCTTCACATTTTTTTAAGTTAAAGTTAGGTCAACATAAAACAAAGGGAATTAATGTGATAAGAATGCATACTTGTCATTCATTAACTAGCTTGCTTACTCTGAAATTAATGGAAGGGAATAAAAGCTACAATAGAACATGTATTCAGAGTTATGTTCATTTTCAGTTTACACAACTTTAACAGCTTATTTAAAATTAAACATTCCCTGATATTCTCTCCTTGGGATAAAGCTAGATTGATAACTTGGTGTGAATTTCTCTTCCAGAACTGTTGATTTTTATTTTCTTTTTCCCTTTCTCCTGTAGTTTCAGACTGGCCTCCCACGCCAATGTGGCTGAATTCCTCACTGTTACTACATGCTGGTGAAACCACTGCTGTTTCAGGCCTTTTCCTGTGGCTTAGTATGGATTTCCACTCCTAGCTGCAAAGTGTGTGTAGACAAACATTTTGATAGTATGCTGTCAGTTTCCCAATCTGCTATCAAGCAGATGCCTCCCAAACAACATTTTGAGCTTGATCTGGTAAAGTAAGACAAAGGTCTTTCAACCTCTGTAAGACGTACACTAATTCTTGACTTTAAGAAGGAATACCTTGAACCAGAGCTTGCTTGAAGGAACTGCTTCTGCAAATCTGATTATTTTAGTCAAAATATATTTGGTTAATAAGACATGATCTACATTTATGAAGCACATACTTCCTTTTTATAGTAAAAATTGGAGAACTCAAGGTAAAGAAACGAAATTACAGTTTTGGTAACTTTATTCCAATCTCACAGGGAAAAAAAGTTCTTATATAGAAAATATACCTAACTTTCCAGTAATACGATATGTTTTATCCAGTAGTATTTGAACTAAACTTTCTATAGGCCTTTTCCCTTAATGTACATTAAATTCATTTTGCAGCTCTGAAAGCCTGTAGCATGGACACTTACCTTTGTAGCTGTCTCATGAGTTGATTCAGAGCTTCCTGAAGCGGTGTCTGCTCCACCTCTAGACCAAAAAGAATTGTGGATAGGAAGGATATGAAATGGAACTGACTGCAAGTGATACTGAACTTCCAAGATATTAGTCATCAACCACACAAAACTGATCTTACTTGAGAATTCAGCGTAAACAAATACAGTGGTAAAAAACAGGATACGTAGATATACTTTTCTCATTGGCCTCAACATTCTGCACATACTGACAGGGGCAGTAGATACTACTTTTTCAAAACAAATATATGGCAACAGTTTCAATACTTTTAGGAACTGGAGAAGAACATGGGGATGACAAAAAATATCAAGATATTTGTTAACAAACAAAAATAAAAAGGAAGCCAGTAGAAGAAAATAAGAATTCACTAAAGATTTTTTTTTCTACCTTCCTGTTTTGATAAAGTACTCGTTAATGGTTTCTCTGGTGATAATTCCAATCTGACAGGGGTCTGACATTTCAGTTCCTGCTCTCCCTCACTGTCTGGGTGTTCTCGATCGCGTTTCCTTTTATCCTCCTAGAAGGAGAAAAATTGCTATAAAACCTCAGGACCTGTAAAACCAGCGTTATGACTGCACGTAACACTCCAGATTTTTCAAAACAACCTTGCACAATGAAAACAAAACAAACCACAAAAAAAGCACACCACCCTGCATTTTTTATGTACTGTCTCCATCTACTGGTCAATGCAAAAATTCAGCATACAATGCAATCTATCATTGAGTGTTTATTTTTTAAACATGACAGACAGCTTTAGAGCATGACAGGAATGCCTCCACACAGAGAATTGCCTCCAGTGATACCTCTGGGATGATTTTGAAGTTTATACAAAAATTAGTAAGAGAGAGGTAGAAAGTTTAAAATGAGATTGTAACCATTTCCTTCACAGAAATGTGTTATAAATACAGATCAGATAAAGAAGGGAATTACATTTTCTTCTTAATTAAGAACCAGTGATGTCTTAATTCTATTTGATATAAATCGATTTATTTAGACACAGCATTTATTTCTGCTTTTAACTTTCTGTATGTTTACACTAGCCAGTATTCGAGATGAGTTTTCACACCTTTTTCTAGAAAATCTGAAACAAAGGAATTGGCAAAACCAACACACAGAGTCTGAACACACTGCAGGGTTAGAAGGCAATCAGAGGGCTGGAGCACATCTCCTGTGAAGAAAGGCTGAGGGAGCTGCCCTTGTTTAGCTTAGATAAGGCTCCAGGAAGATCGCATTGTAGCCTTCCAGTACTTGAAAGGAGCTAACAAGCAGGAGGGGAACCGACTTTTTACACGGTCTGATAGTGACAAGATAAGGGGAGGGAATGGTTTTAAACTAAGAGAGGGAAGATTTAGGAGAGATGTTAGGAAAAGAGTATTCACTCAGAGGGCGGTGAGGGGTTGGAACTAAATGATCTTTAAGGTCCCTTCCAACCAAAACCATTCTCTGATTAAGGACACAAGTTACAGGCAGGCATACCTGCTCTCTGTCTGGTAATATGGGCAGGCAAAGTTGAAGGTATTTTTCTGTGGCGGTGTTGTTTTTTTTTTTTTTTGCTAATATACAAAAGCACGAATGCATACCTTAACTTTTCTCTTTCTTTTCTCCTTCTCTTCTCCAGGAACTTGTTTTTCTCCCTTCTTTCTCTTTTTCCTTTTTCTGTCCTTGTGCTTTTCATGCTCGGATTTGTCCTCATACAGACTGGAATCAAGCCCCGCGCTTCCAGTGGACAGTTCGGCAACTTCGTTCCCTCCAACTTTCAGCACCAGCTTCAGCGGCTTCTCTACGTACTCTTTAACGCAGCAGAGAAACGAGGCGTCGAGCGGCGCGGACAACGCGTTCCCCCCGCACCCCGGCCGTCCCTCCGCCGCCCCCGCCCCGCAGACCCGTAACCCCGGCCCTTCCCACGCCGTTTCTCCCCTCCCCGCCCGGCCGCGGGTGCCCAGGCCCGGCCGCGGCTCTCCGCCCGGCCCCGGCTTCCCTCTGCCTTTGAGCTGGGCCCGGCCGGCAGGCCCGAGGCTCGGCGCCCGCTTCGCGACCCCCTTCCCCACCCACCCTCGTAGGGGTGCTTGTCCGACTTGTGCTTCTTGTGTTTCTTCCCCATGGCGGCCCGACAGACCGCGCTGCCGGGGCGGATACCGGCCCCGCCGAGCAGCGGCGCCGCGCGCACCCGGCACGAGCGGCGGCGCGGGGAGCCGCGGCCCTGCAGCGCCCCCCGGCGGCTCGGCGGTGCTCCTGCAAATCCTGGCGCTGGCGCAGGCGTAGAAGCGGGTGGTGGCAGCCGAGCGGCAGGGCCGTGCCGCGTGGTCGGGCGGTGTTTGTTACGGGCCGCTCTGCCTGCCCGGCCTCGTGCCGCGGCGGTGCTGCTTCTGCAGAGCCGTCTCAGCCTCCATTGCCCTCCCTTCTGTTCACGGTCGCGTGGGCGCGCTTCTCTTCACAGCGCCTTTCCTCACAGCACGCCTCGCGCGCGCGCCTCTCCTCACAGCGCCTCTCCACATCCCGCCGCGCTCAAACGCGGGCTGCAAATCCTGCCCGGAGCCACCGCCCGCTCCGCTGGCCGTGTCCGCCCGGTGCCGTCCCTCCTGTCTCTGGGATACCGCACCACTCCAGGCAGACGGCGGGATTCAGCTCTGCTGCTCCTGCAAATCCCCCCTGCGGAGCCAGCAGCGGGACGGGGTTCCCTGCAGCGCCTCACAGCGGCGGGGCAGCGCTTTGCTCCTCAGTTGCACGTTCACGGGGAATGCATCTGTGTTGTCCGTCGCAACTTACAAATAACTGCGCTTTAGGTATAAATGAAGGCCTCCTGGGAGCTCTCTTAAAGTTAGCGGTCGTTACTGTTTCGGCAGCGCTGCCCCAGCTGCTGTTTCTGCCCGGCCCGGCTCTGTGAGGCCTCGTGAAACGCCGCCATGTGGAGCTGAGTGCAGGAAGGGATTGCATCCATCTCAGGACGAGCTGTAGTTTTAATCCCACCCAATGATGCTGTGAGTACTCCCTGGATTTGTTGAAACGCTTGTGATATTCTATAGCCAAAGAAAGTAACAATTAGATGTTAATTAGGAACACATATCTATATATCTTCATAAAGCTGATTTTTAAGATTTGAGGAACGTGTCCATGGTCCGTGGCTGGGAACGCGATGAGATGTGATGCTGTGTGCTCTCCTGGTGAGCTCTGCTGCCGTTTGGTGCGGTGCTCCCAGGGCTTGGGGTGCTCTGGAACAAACCGCAGCTCTCCTGCTTAATCTCATTCCAGTAGTTTGAAATTCAGCTGTAACACACACAGTTGTTTTTCTAATTTACATCTGGGTCCTCTAGTACTCTCATCACACGTGCAGCGAATGCTCTTAAGCGTGCTTTGGTGAGATGCAGAGGGCTTTTGCCTGGGACGTGGCCACATGTAGAAACTACAATGTAAATGTTTAAAGGACATGTTTTATATAATGAAAAAAAGTTGCTATATCCTCTGTTCCCACAAGAAGACTGGCAGACTTTCTAAGCTTTTTTCTTTTAAGTGTGTATGGCAAAACTATTTGTTCAATTTCTTTTCTGAAATTTACTGACTAATCTTACTCTGAATCTAACCATATTTGAAAGAGCTATATGCTCAGGAGTAAGGTGAGATAGTGCCAGCACTGACAGCTGCCTTTTCCAGGTGTCTCATTCAGTAGCATCTCCTGGATCAGAGAAAGATACATTGTTTTAACTGGTAGTAGAGGCACTTGTTCCTAGAATATACACCATTTACACCATGCTCTCCTTTGCTCTAGCTTGTCTTTCTGTTTGAAAGATATGTGTTTCTTTCCCTTCAAAAATACGAATGTAGCCCTTCAAAGTACAGCTCAACTGTCAGAAGCTTGTAAAGAAAAGATTCTGCTTTTCTGTGCATTGTTCAAGTATTGCTGTTGGGCTTTGTCACTTCCTTAAGAACTGAGTGTATACGTATTTCTGCCTACTCAGCTGGCTCTGCTCTTACCTGTAGGACCAGAGGAAGGCTAAAAATCCCTGCATCCTCTTCCAATACATGATGTCTTCCCAGCCCTGATCAGGGGAAGCCCTTGCAATTTCAGGGGGACACAGTGGTGCAAAGGACAAAGATAGAAGTACTGAATGTCCTTTAAATCAGCACAGAGGCTGGATGCGACTTGGAACATTTAAGTATTTCAGTAGTAGTTTGTTATGTTGCCATAAAGGAGAAAGATATAATGTGGCCTCCTATTTTCTAGCAATAGGTTTTCAAATGAGATGGTACTTCTCAACAACGAATCACATTGTTTCCAAAGTACACCTTCACTCAGCAAAAAAGAACAAACAAACAAACTGGTAGTTTCCAAAGTTGACTCAAGATAGCTAATGCCTTGCTGGTACAATGAGTGTCTGGTGCCTTCACAGAAGAGCAGTCAATGTGAACAGAGCTACAAACTTCAGAAGATGAAATATTCTTTCAGACTTACTGCAAGTCTAACACTGTTTAACGTTTTGCCAAATTCACATCTTCTGGAGTTGTGTACTTACCTGTAACTTTAAACTTCAATTAAAACAAAACTTATTATATACTATTATTCTGGACAAAGACTTGGAGGATTCCCTAGAATCTTAGAAGTCAAATATTCAAATAGTCTAAATTTAAAGTCTGATGATTTGTTTGGAAATCCAATTCTCTAACTGAAGAATTCATCTATTGGATTCTATTTCATAGTTCTGTGACATAGTTCTAGTACATATATTCTAGGCATTACGATTTGGACCTAGTTTGGCATGCAGTGTACATTCTGAATGTCTGGTGTTTGTAATGCTTCCTGAATGTGCTGCTCTGCTGTTTCAAATTGTTATGGCTGAATAGCAAAGAAAGAACACTCGTTTCTATGAAAAGTAATCCCAAGTCATTTACTCACAGTAACAAGCAAATATCTTTCTAGCCAGGATTCTTAAGGCTGTAATAATCATTACAACGAGGTTCTTATTCATTTGTAATTAGGGAAGGTTACCTATTTTCCACAGAGCTGTGTACTGATCATGCTGTTGGACTTCTGCAAAAGTATTTGCAAAAGTCTGTTTTCTAAGTATTCTCCCTGTGATCTTGCCCAACTCCTCTGGGGACTTCTTTTAATACATTTCTTTTTAAGTGATTTTATGCACCTGGAAGAATACCTTGTTGCATAACTTGGAACCTAAATAGCAAAATGTTTGCTAGATGTGCATGAGATTGCATGAAATTTAAACATTTATGACCTTAGTTGTTGGCTGGCATTGCTGCATTGGTTGGGAAAATTAAACAGGATTCAACTAGATCAACCTGGCTTCCTTCATGAATGGGGGTGAGTGGAACGTGTATCCCTCATCTCCACTGCTCCCTGGTCATATGGATTTCAAAGGATTTGGAGCAAAAATACAGAGAAGCCTGAATAGCAAACTAGGTGTAACTGGAGGCTGCCTCAGCAGTTGCAGCAGGTAGTTTACTTAGGGAGCAGAGGTGTCACTGGCAGAGGCACATGTGTTACCCAGACAAAGGTGAAGATGATCCTCTTTCTAATAAGTTTTAAGTTGATGCTGAGGGGGAAAAATGATAATCAAATTTACACTTGTATTAAATTTGAACTTATAAGCCATAATAGGAGAAAAATTGCTACAAGTATCTAGCAGGATCTCTCAGGTAATGCTCTGGTTAGTTCATTTATGTTACGTAGCGATTCAGCTTTTTAATTTTATTTTGTTTTCTGTACTGGTATCTCTAGAGGAAACATGGTAAATAGAAGAAAATATGAAGAGCATTAGGCCACATGGTGGTGTAATATGCAAAGGAAAATGAACCAGTCATGTCAAAGTTAGTGGAATGTACACATAGACACGTTTATTTGCTTATTAAAGCAGTAGTGGTTATCTGATTAAACCCAGTACGTGGTATTACTATGAGCAGTCACTTTTTAAGACCTTTAATTGCAAGCCTAGTAAGTACATTTGCTAGGGTCAGTTGTGGTTTTAGCTCAGCTTCCTCTGAAGGTGCCTGCATTCAACTTACTGGTGTTCTGCTTCCTAGTTCAGGAATCCTGAAAAGGTTCACAGTGGAAAAGCTAAAATTGAAAAATGGAGATGACCACATCTGCAGCCCCCATGGTGTATGTCTCCCAGTAAAAGCCTTGGTTTTCATCTGCTGCGGGCTGGGCATCTCTCACAGGTGCAGCAGCTTCTCTTCAGCTCTGTGTTTTGTGTGTGACAGAAGCTGGGGAGAAGCTGTGCCATGGGACTGCTTGGGGAGATACCTCAAACGGCAAGCTGTGGTGAGAGCAGGGCTAAGGGGTGCCAACAGTGTGCACAGTGTGACTGCAAGCACACCCACCTGCAGCAGCGACAGCACTGAAACACAGGCACACTGGTACAGAGAGGTGCAGTGCTCTGCAACCTTGAGCAGAAATGAGCCACTTCTTTCAAGGCGTTTCTCTGTTCTCTGAATATGGCTCTTGGAACAGCTGATGGCTCTTTTTGCATTTTCACTAGGCTGTTATGATGTTCTGTAACAAGACATGGATGTTTCTTTCATTAAATGCTTCTGTTTCCCTTGGTTTTACAACTTCATAAATATTTAAGGCTTCATTATTTTCCTAAGTTTTTACTTAAAATTTTTGGTATAGGCAGTGAAGTGGGAATGTGAAGTAGTCATCGCTATTAATGCTCCCTAACTTTTGCTGTGTTTAAATTCCTTAAAATAATAATATACACATATATGTACACACATATCTCAATCTGTTCCATGCAGTAGGCTGCAGATCCTTTTAAGAAGTTAGGCTGGGATTGGAAGTTGAGAATGGCTGAAATGAAATGAAAACCAGGAGAGATGTTTTCTGACTAGGCTGATGCACTGGATCGCTGTACAAATTTTAGTTATTCCAAATTCTTTAACAATAATTAGTGTGATGTGATATGGGAAGGAATATGGATGCAGTTGCTGAGAGGAACGTGATTCCACTACTCCCTTTTTATGCTTCTTATTACGCTGCTCTTTTATGGAGAGAGTTTGCCAAAAGGACTGCAGTGAATGACCAGTAAATGATCCGTTTTTGTAAAAATCGCCTTTAAAAAACTAAATAAAGAATTTGGTCCAGAGAGCGGGGGAAGGAGTTAAAGGGTTTTATCATGTAACTGCTCAGATGTGCTCTGTTTGGATAG